CAGGGGGCGACTTAAAGCTGTGTCCTCTCTAGCGGCCAGCAGGGGGCGACTTAAACCTGCGTCCTCTCCAGCAGCAGCAGGAGGCGACTTCAACCTGCGTTCTCCTTAGCGGCCAGCAGGGGGCGACTTAAACCTGCGTTCTCTCTAGCAGCCAGCAGGGGGCGACTTAAACTTGCGTCCTCTCTAGCAGCCAGCAGGGGGCGACTTAAACCTGCGTTCTCTCTAGCAGCCAGCAAGGGGCGACTTAAACTTGCGTCCTCTCTAGCAGCCAGCAGGGGGCGACTTAAACCTGCGTTCTCTCTAGCAGCCAGCAGGGGGCGACTTAAACCTGCGTTCTCTCTAGCAGCCAGCAGGGGGCGACTTAAACCTGCGTTCTCTCTAGCAGCCAGCAGGGGGCGACTTAAACCTGCGTCCTCTCCAGCAGCCAGCAGGGGGCGACTTAAACCTGCGTCCTCTCCAGCAGCCAGCAGGGGGCGACTTAAACCTGCGTCCTCTCTAGCATCCAGCAGGGGGCGACTTAAACCTGCTAATCAGTTCTGTTTCCTGTGCTGACGGAGCCCATCCAGCTGCCGTGTAACGAGTGAACGTAAGAGTTCAAGACTATTCATGCATGCGTGAAAATTAACGAGTTACTCCCTCAGACTACTCGTTCCTCCTGCGTCACATACAAGATCAAATGAACGAAACGTTCTTGGAACGACGCAACACTAGTGCGTAGCAGCAGCCTGAGCAGGCAGTGATGCAGCCGTTCGGGACGCTCTCAAAGGTAGAAGGTGCAGAGTATCCTGGAGTCCATGTTTATCCTCCTCAGCCTGCGGAGGCAGAAGAGCTGTGGTCTCGCTGCCTTTGTGATGGTGTTGGTGAGTCCAGCTCAGGCCCTCGCTGATGTGGACCCAGAGGAACCTGAAGCTGAAGACTCTCTCCCTTGTAGTCAGGGAGGGGGGTTATGATGCTGTTTCATAAGAATTCCTGATTTATCCTCATTTCCTGAGGATCGTAACAAAATCTGTAAAACTGAATCTAGAGCTGGATGCTAACTGCTAACCCAGTTTTGACAGTGAGGAGGCCTCAGACCTGACCGATGTTTAACCAAACCAGTATCTAAAAGCATCTCTCCAGCTTCCAGTGAACATGTCTGCTGAAGGTGTCATCACAGTGCTGTCCACAGCGCAGGCATACTGAGACTGCAGATAGTCTTTGTCAAACTTCTGTCCAGCAGACTGATCCCCCAGACAGGCACTCAGATGGAGGGTGGCTTGAAACCTGGAGGACAGCAGCACCAGCGAGGCGGCCAAACAGACGACAGAGAACGGGACGCTTTGTAAAGACGTCCTCTCTGCTGGGAGGATGAACGGGATGACGATGCGGTTTCTCTCAGGTTCACCGTATTTCTTTGTGAGAGACTCGTATCTCTTCCAGACACCGTCCTCTGGGGGTTTGAGAGGACTGACAGTGATGTTGGGAATCATTTGATCTCCAGCTGTCTTCATGGAGTTCCAGTAGTTTGGCAGTTTCACAGGCCGATGCTCTCCATCAGGAATCAGACAGCCGTCATCTTTGTCACATTTAAAAACTCTGTGCTGCGGCCTGATGCGTCCTGTAGCGACACCATATACCACATCAGCACTACTGGTGCAGTTCCAGGGAGAATACAGGAGCACGTCTGTGATGGAGGGCAGAGGCAGGAGGCAGCTGGCTGGGATCATGAAGTCTCCGATCGCTCCGTGGGCCACAAAGGTGATGTCTACACTGTTGCTGTGGTTCTTCTTCTCTTCCACGTCGATGCGTTCTTTCAGGAAATTAAACATGTCCACGAGTTGGGAGAAGGCTCCGGACTCTGAACCGTCTCTCAGCCACTGCAGGACGCTTTGGTTCCTGCAGTTTAGTATTGCAGACTTTAGTAGTTCTTGCCTTTGGTCCAAGTTCCCCGGAGAGCGTTGATCTCTGGCTAACCACAGCTTCCTGTAAACAAAGAACTTCATCTAGTTATTTTCACACAGAGCTTCTTCCTGTCCAGCACATCTCGAGCCTCTGTGTCAGAATATGAACAGAAGTCAAAGCTGATGGTGCTGTTCACTCCTTTCAGTGGGGTTTCAGTCAGACGCTGTCACTACAGCAGATAGCTGGCCAGCTCGTAACAGACAAGTCAAGATTTGAACAGAGTTGAGTTAGTTTTTTTTTTAAAACTCTACCATCTCTGCATTTGGGCCCAGACCTTTTGACTTCCTGCTACACTTTTAGCAGCTGCTGTGATATCCACTAGTTTTCTTCTTACTTTGTCTGACATGAAAAGGGTTTTAAAATGTCTTCCTTTAAACATGGTGACCGCCTGGCACTGGTGGAAGATCTTCATACTAAAAAAGTAAAAGTACAGATGCCACATAAAAAATGTCATCCAGTATAAACCTACTCAAGTAAAAGTGAAAAAGTTCCTGGTTTTAAAAATACTTAAGTAATCAAAAGTAAAAGTACTACACATCAAAATCTATTGATCTTACAAAATTCAGTCTATCTTTTTAAATTCACTCAAGACAGCTTTGAATACAGCACTGTGAGTTACAGTGAATCACAATAAGGAAAACTGAGTGGACAAGCAGGATTAGTCTGCGTTATTAGTCTGCTGATGTGGTAGTATCCCCTTCAGACCGTCTGACAGACACAGAACCCCATTTGGTACTTTGGTTTTTACTTTATGTTAAAGGAGACCAATTAAACTTCTTTTCCAGTCCTAGATTGTAGTTCTGTGACTCCTGTATGGCAGCTTTGCATGATTCAAAGTTAAAAAATATATTTTATTTTGCTCCTGTCTCTTTAAGCCCCCCCCCCACAAAGCCCACTGTCTTCTGATTGGCCAAGACCTGCAGCATGTTACCAGTTTAACATTAGTTTTTCAGTGTTGCTCCTCTCAGGCGCGCTGCACAGGCGACTAATACCAATGTAACGGAGGTTTTGAAATGTAGCAAAGTGAAAGTAAAAAGTTGCAGCAAAGTACAGATACCTACTTAAAAACTACTTAAGTACAGTAACGACGTACTTCGTTACTAAAACCTGGAAACCCTCAGCAACATTGGTTTTGATCTTTAAAACGTCAGGAAGCTTTTTATTTCAGCGACTCACCACATGTCATCGACAAACTTTTTCATCTCTTCTGAAGCTTGCTTCTCTCTCTGATCTGAAATCAGATCAGAAACTGAAAGCAAAAGCCGACCTCCGACCTCCGACCTGAAACAAGATTATAGGGTTGGGTTGTAAAATGCACTCTTCACTGGAACTCTGAACCTTGTTTCTGAGTTGATTTATCTTCGTTGTTGTAGGTTAGGTTTTAGTGGACTGGATTATATATGTGAAATAAAAGCATCTTTATGTTTGAATGTACCACAAAGATGAGAATGTTTCACAAAGTTGCCATATAAAGAAGTATTTCTAGTTCATACAGTCAGGAGGGAAATGTGTTTAAATGTGTTTCACTCCTCAGGTACTCATCTTATGATTATTCTTGCTGCTAAAATATCACGTAATCATGATGTTTTGTGAGAGTATGCTTTAGGACTGACAGTAGAAATGGTATTTCACTCTTCTTTTACTCTCAGCTCTGACAGTCCTTGAGTGTAACTGCTTATATGTGGTACCAGTAGTGACAAGGACTCTAGCAAAACACAAAACTGGCGAACAGGAAGGATCAGGAGAGAAAAACCATTCCCCTTTGTGGACGTTGTCTTTCTGTTGCCTCTCCAGTGATTAAGTCTTCCCTTATTTTTTGAGCTTATATATAAATTGCAGGTTTTGGCATTACAGAGGCTCTGCAGTTCTTTAGCTAGAAGCTTTCTGTTTTAGTGTAACCTGGACTGTTCTTATAAAACAATATTTTGAGTGAACAGCTCAAGCTACAAAAGAGCAGGACTTCAAGTGGTCTTATCTTCCCTCCTGAGCTCAGTGGGTAATTCCACACTGCCACACATGAGCACAGGGCCACACCTCACACTGATTTAGTCTTTGCTAATCTGGTGGAAAAGCGGTCTAATCCAGATTGGATTGGTCCTCGGTCCCCTAGAGAGGGGAAGACTTAGACAGGGTGAGACACACTGTGGACAAGCTTTCCAGCATATTGGTGGACCAGAGGCAAAGAGTTGGAATTTGTCCTGTAATCAGGCGCCCTGCCCGGACAGGACTGCACTAAAGACTCTTCAGTGGAAAAGATCCTGTGTTTCTATTGGCTGAGTCAGCTCTTAGAAAGAGAAAGTGAAACTACAGTGTCCAAAATGCTCGCTGGTAATCCCCAGGATGTCATCAGGGAAACTGCTACAGAGCTGATCTAATAATTATTATTGTAATACATTTTATTTATAGGCACCTTTCAGAACTCTCAAGGTCACCTCACAAAACACAATAATAAGAAACAACTACAGTGCATCCAGTCAGGCTACATAAGCAAGTGGAAACTATTATTCGTTACGTAAAGTCACTTTATTTGAACAATGTTACTGATACGGTGCCTGATGTTGTTGTAAACCTAACAGAGTACGGCTACAGCTGTGGCTCAGCGGGAGAGCGGCTTGGCTACATATTAGAAGATCGGTGGTCCAATCCCCGGCTCCTCCAGGCTCCATGTCTGAGGGTCCTTGGGCAAGACACTGAACCCCGAATTGCCCCTGATGTCTGATCCATCAGTATATGAATGTTAGTTCTGTCTGAGCACTCAGTGTGTGAACATAAGAGAATGCAGTGCAACAGCACTTTGAGTGGACAGAAGACTAGAAAGGAACCATACGGAGCATTTACAGTCAAAACAGGATCCTACATGTTAATGTTAATGTCGTGGTGTCTGCAGGTCCGCTGCATCACAACATGTCAACTGAGCAAACACTGAGGAAGACCAGGAGACGTGGCAGAAAGCTCCAGAAACAAGAGTTCATCAACCCAGAACCTTTCAGTGTAACATGCTGAGGACAGAAAGGCAGAAGAAGACAGGATCTCAGGACATGATGAGTGTCTGATCTTACCTGCTTTGGAGCTTCACAGGTGAGTTTCTGAGAGCAAATACTAACGTCTGATCCTCAGCTCTGTTTTTCATATTTGAGGAGGAGGACACAATAGTGCTGATGATCACCCCTGTGTTTCTATTGGCTGGTTCACAGTCAGCTCTTATAAAAGGAAAAGTACCGATAACACCAAGGAGGGAAACTCCGTGTTTAATGTTTGTGATGCAGAAACAGTGCAGAAGTTTAACAGAAAGTAAAAGTGTTGGTTTCTGCTGATAAAATGACAATATTTTACTAAAATAGTTTAGTAATATCATGTATGTGTGATCACTCTCTCTCCAACACACACGCTGCTGCTGCAGCCGTGTTGCTGGACGCAGCAGTCTAAAGTAAAGTAGGACTGTGTCACCTAGACTTTTGCAGTACAGAAGTCAAAGAGAAAGTTATAAGGAGCATGGTGCTGTCACTGTGTCACAATCCTGAAACGTCACTACAAACAGCTGAGTGCAGGAGGAGTCCACAGAGCAGAAATGAGGCAGACTTTTTAAGGCAATTTCAGTGCATTAACTTCCTGAATCACGACAACCACATTCCCCTTCAACAGAGAGGCAGACATTTTGGTGAATAAGAAAGAACAGTGGCCAACTCATAAAACAACCCCATGTTCTGAAAACAGGCCAGCTGCAGCGCACATCCACACAATTAAACAGGTCGGCCTACTCAGCGGCGAGCTGACCACGTAATGATATCAGCCCTAAAACAGCAGAACGGCCGCCGCACCAAATCCAAGCTGAAAAAGCACTTGTAAAGTGACTCAGCTATTTGAAAGGTGAAATCTTTGATAATGTCTTCAGTAGTCCAGAACAATCTTATCTGGGAGCTGTGCGGCCCTCTCCTCCTGTTCTTCTCTCTCCTGTCTCTCCTTGAAACTACTTTTATGAGTGAAGCATGACTTCCAGCTTGCACGTGTGATCTGCTAGTCTGCTGGTCAGATTTTGCATTTCACATGATTTCTGGAGTCTTGTCACATGATCAAATAGAAGATTGGGCATTTATTTGCATATTACCCAGCAATCATCACTGCTTATGTAGCTATGTGACACAAATACCAACGAAAAAGACTAAATTCATTCTGTTGATCTGTGGAATAAATAGTTTTTATATTTCACCGTATTCCTTACAGCATACTGCTTGCTACAGATCTACAATCTGTGATGTCAGACACCACGGCAAAGGGGAAATGCACATATTAGTGTATAAACAGTTATATAATGCGACTCAATACATTTTTACCATGTAACCAAGTCCAGCTCGGAACTTGGCGGGTCGCTCCCGTCACGGGTGCAGCTGCACTGTCTATACCTATGTCCCTGACCAGTACCTTCTGTACACACTACTACCCTCTGTACACAGCACTACAGTACCAATACCCTCTGTACACAGGACTACAGTACCAATACTCCCTGTACACAGACCTGCAGTACCAATACCCTCTGTACACAGGACTACAGTACCAATACTCCCTGTACACAGATCTGCAGTACCAATACCCTCTGTACACAGGACTACAGTACCAATACTCTCTGTACACAGACCTGCAGTACCAATACTCTCTGTACACAGGACTACAGTACCAATACTCTCTGTACACAGACCTGCAGTACCAATACTCTCTGTACACAGGACTACAGTACCAATACTCTCTGTACACAGCACTAGAGTGCAGTACAGAATATGTGTCCTTACAGTGCTTTACAGGGTACTTGTACTTAATTGACAGAGTACATAACTGTACAGTACAGAGTACTTGTACCTTGTAATTTGGCCCTTAACAACAGAAACACACTGCAGGTTTGTATTTGACTTGTTTTAATGACATCACATGTTGTAATCACATGCTAGGATCTTTAACCAGTCCAGCCTCCTTTGGATAACTATGACCTGGAGGACTGAGAACCTTCACAGACACATGTTGTTGTAGTCAGTCTGTCTACTGGTGCTCTCTGGGCGAGTCTGACAGACTGATCTCTGCTGCCATCTGGTGTTTGAGCAGCAGACAAAACTTTGATTGTACACTTTATTTTAGCTTGCCGTGTTGTGCGTTCAGAGATGGTATTCTGCACTCATTGGTTGTAACAAATGGTTATTTGAGTTACTGTTGCCTTTCTGTCATCTCGAACCAGTCTGCCCATTCTCCTCTGACCTCTGACATCAACACAACTGCCTCCCACTGGATATTTTTCAGACCGTTCTCTGTAAACCCTACAGATGGTTGTGCGTGAGTGGGTGTTTGTTGTTAGACTTCTGTGCTACTCATGGATGGTCTATAACGAACACCATCTTCGAACATAAGGATGCTCATAAGTGTCCGTGGTACCGGAGCACCCTAGGCCGAAGATCGATGATCGATTTTGTAATCGTTTCATCTGATTTGAGGCCGCATGTTTCACTCGGGTGAAGAGAGGGTGTCAACTGATCACCATCTGGTGGTAAGTTGGGTCAGGGGCTGGGGGAAGACTCTGAAAAGACCCGGTAAGCCCAAACTTGTAGTGAGGGTAAACTGGGAATGTCTGGAGGAGGCCCCTGTCTTCAACTCACACCTCCGGGAAGCTGTGGTCTCAAGGTCTTAGGTGCCTCAAGGGGCGGTACACCTTGAACACCGTGGTGCACACCGGTGGTCAGGGAAGCTGTCCGACTGAAGAAGGGATTTTTTGTCTCGGAGGACTCCGAAGGCGGATGCATGGCACTGACAGGCCCGAAGGGCGGCAGCCTCTGCAAAGCAGAGTGGGGGAAGTTTGGAGAAGACATGGAGAAGGACTTTCGCTTGGCACCAAAGTGCTTCTGGAGAACTGTCTGCCACCTCAGGAGAGGGAGTGGGGAACCATCCAAGCTGTGTACAGTAAGGATGGGACTCTGTTGACCTCAACTGAAGAGGTAATTGAGTGGTGGAAGGAACACTTTGAGGAACTCCTAAATCCGGCTGACACGCCCTTTCTAGTAGAGGCAGAGCTGGAGGCTGATGGGGGATTGTCGTCAATTTCCTTGGTAGCAGTCACTGAGGTAGTCTAACAACTCCACAGTGGCAAAGCCCCGGGGACTGATGAGCTCCGCCCAGAAATGCTAAAAGCTTTAGGTGTGGAGGGGCTGTTTTGGATGACACGTCTCTCTCACATTACGTGGAAGTCGGGTAAAGGCGTGGCAGACTGGGGTGGTGTTTCCCCTGTTCAAAAAGGGGGGCCAGAGAGTATTTGCCAATTACAGGGGTATCACACTTCTCAGCCTCCTTGGTAAATTCAATTCAATTCAATTCAATTTAATTTATATAGCAAAAACCAAATCACAACAACAGTTATCTCACAGCGCTTTTCATAAAGAGCAGGTCTAGACCGTACTCTGTGATGATATTTACAGAAGCCCAACAGTTCCCACCAAGAGCAGCACTAGGAGACAGAGGCAAGGAAAAACTTCCTTTAAGAGGCAGAAACCTCGAGCAGAACCATGACTCAGGGTGGGCGACCATCTGCCTCGACCGGTTGGGGTGAAGGAGAGAGAGGGAGAGAGAGAGAGAGAGCAGGAGAGGAACAGAGAGAAAAAGAGAGGGATGGAAGGAGAGAGAGAGAGGGGAGGGAGGCAGCCTACATAATATACTCACAGAGGTACAGACAATAAAGGTGATGTTGCTATAGACTAAATGAAAAATGGTACAGATATTTATAGTAGTGTTAATGATAACAATCGTAATGTTAATGATTATAATAACAATAATAACAATAGGACTAGTAACAATAGTCGTTGCAGCAGAGGGTGTCGAGCAGGAACACGGGGGGCAGCAGGTGACCCGCAACCACAGATCCAGACTCCACAGCTCCTGAGCCAGAAAACCTGCAGGAAGTGATAGGAGGAGAGAGGAGAGGGACGAAAAAGCACAAGACTACCAGAAAGGGGAGAAGTTGTGTTAGTAACATGCAATAATGGGATGAGGTTGCATACAGAGGGAGAGAAAGTAGAGGAGAGAGGAGCTCAGTGCATCATAGGAAATCCCCCGGCAGTCTAGGCCTATAGCAGCATAACTAAGGGATGGTTCAGGACTCACCTGAGCCAGCCCTAACTATAAGCTTTATCAAAGAGGAAAGTCTTAAACCTACTCTTAAATGTGGAGATGGTGTCTGCCTCCTGAACCCAAACTGGAACCTGGTTCCACAGGAGAGGAGCTTGATAGCTGAACACTCTGGCTCCTAGTCTACTTTTGGAGACTCTAGGAACCACAAGTAACCCTGCATTCTGGGAGCGCAGTGCTCTGGTGGGGTAGTAAGTAAAGTCTACTCCAAGGTGCTAGAAAGGAGGGTTCGGCCGAGTCGAACCTCGGACTTAAGAGGAACAATGTGGTTTTCGTCCTGAAGAACGGACCAGCTCTTTACTCTCACAAGGATCCTGGAGTGGGCTTGGGAGTATGCTCATCCAATCTACATGTGTTTTGTAGATCTGGAGACCGGGTCCCCTGACCGGGTCCCCTGGGAGATACTGTGGGAGGTGCTGCGGGAGTATGGGGTGAGGGAGTCCTTTCTTAGGGCTATCCAATCCCTGTACATCCAAAGCGAGAGCTGTGTCCGAGTACTTGGCAGTAAGTCGGACTCTTTCCAGGTGAGGGTTGGCCTTCGCCAGGGCTGTGCTTTGTCACCAATCCAATTCGTGATATTCATGGACAGGATATCGAGGCGTCATCGTGGTGGGGAGTGGTTGCATCATCGGTCCGTGACCTTCAGCTCTCACTGGATCGGTTCTCAGCAGAGTGTGAAGCGGTTGGGATGATGATTAGCACCTCTAAATGTGAGGCCATGGTTCTCCGCAGGAAACCGGTGGAGTGCCAACTCCAGGTAGGGAATGAGTCCTTACCCCAAGTGAAGGAGTTCAAGTATCTTGTTCACGAGTGAGGGGAGACTGAAGCTGGCAATTGACCTGAGAATCGGAGCAATGGGGGCGGTATTGCACTCGCTTTATCGCACCGTTGTGAAGAAAAGAGAACTGAGCTGTAAGTCAAAGCTGTCGATCTACAAGTCAATTTTCGTTCCTACCCTCATGTCATGGGGCTACCCCATGCCTTCATTTAAGCCAGCAGTAGTATTGATCTTAGCATGCTAAGCTAACCTTAGCTGAGCATTAGCATAGGACGGTTACCCTTAGCATATGGGCTAGCATCAATGGACACATGGCTTGTCATTTCATGTCAGTTATAGGGGGAAGACCTGGAATGGTCCAAGTTTATATTTTTGATATATTTTTACAATAATTCGCTTGCACAACTGCACTTTTCTCGTATCTGGTGAAAAAATAAATTGAAGCACCAGGTGAAGAACTCCATGACCATGTCTCCTCCTTCCACCATAAACATTACACCTCACCTATGGTCACGAAGGCTCGGTCATGACCGAAAGAACGAGATCGCGGGTACAAGCGTCCGAAATTGGTTTCCTCGGGCGGGTGGCTGGTGTATCCCTTAGAGATAGTGTGAGAAGCTCAGCCATCCGTGATGAGCTCAGAGTAGAGCCACTGCTCCTTTGCATCGAAAGGAGTCAGTTAAGGTGGTTTGGGCATCTGGTAAGGATGCCTCCTGGACGCCTCCCTAGGGAGGTGTTCCAGGCACGTCCAACTGGGAGGAGGCCTCAGGGAAGACCCAGGACTAGGTGGAGAGATTTTATCTCCACACTGGCCTGGGAACGCCTCGGGATCCCCCAGTCAGAGCTAGTTAATGTGGCTCGGGAAAGAGAAGTTTGGGATCCCCGGCTGGAGCTGCTGCCCCCGCGACCCGATCCCGGATAAGTGGATGAAGATGAATGGACGGATGGATGGATGAAAAGGTGTACCTATTAAAGTGGCAGTTGAGTGAATGTATGTGTATGAAATCTCTCTGGTCTTTAGAACAGATTTACAGGCACTCGAGAGAAAATGGAAGATCAGACTGTACTGATGACCTTGCTCAGTACCTTCACATCCTCTGAGACTGTGGCAGCTGCCAAATCTGTCTTCTGTCTGACCAAAATCAACTCCTCACCCTCCAACTCCAGGAACTAAAACTAATAAGGTTAAGGACATCAGCTTCTCTTTTACCCTCACAGTCTCCCCCATCAACTCCCGACTCTGTACACCTTACCCGCTTTACCCCCCTCTCCTCTAAATGTCCACAGACTAGTTATGCCACCACCTGCCCCCCTGACCCGATCCCCTCGACCCTTCTCCAAGCAATCTCAAGCAACATCAAGCCATTTCTCACCATCCTCATCAACTTCTCCCTCAATTCAGGACTTATTCCATCCGCCTTCAAGACTGCTAGAGTCAAGCTAGCACTGTGATCACATCAAATGGGTTCTCCTATCACTGTTATGTGGACGACTCTCAACTATTCCTCTCCTTCCCCTCCTCTGATGGGGAAAGACTGCCCTCACATGGATTAACTGGTCACTGTTGAAGACATTGCAGTCTGTCCTTCACAAACCATGAGGAACCTTGGTGTATTACTGGACAATCAACTGTGCTGCACAGCCAACATCACCGCAGTGGCCCAATTCTGCAGAAATCCTCTCTGCAATATGTGTATATGTATGTGTATATATGTTGTCAGGTACGCAGGCTCTGCCCTGAGGGCGACGGGGGTCATATGTGTCGTCCGAGGTATTACGGAAGCTCAGGTCACAGTTGCGATGAGGACATCTCCTTTCCTGTCACAGTGGGGATGGACTTATGTGTCAAACAATCGGGTAGATGGTCAAGGATATGTTTCAGGGTCGAAGGCAGCGTCAGGTGACTGGTGAGCAGGGAGGTCCCCACTCCTGCAGTGGGGCCTGAGCTTCTCGTGCTTGGGAAAGCTCAGCTTGAGTAAACAGGCTGTCCTAGTGTAGGCTGGTGTTACACAGCCTGATACTCTGTAGTTGGGCATAGTGCTTCACCTGTTCCTCAGCTTGCAGCTGGGTTCTGCGTTGGCATAGGAAAACTATTTGTCCAAAAGTATTAAGGATTGAGTGACTGGTCTGGTTTGTTTATAAGCTAAGTTTCAAAGATATTACATACATTTTAATTAAGTTATTAATATTACAATGTATTAATACATATGAATTATTACGGGACAACACCCTGAAATTAGGGACCTAGTGTAAACAATTACGTTTATACGGAGTGACAGTGAATCCTGAGTCCGTACACTGGTCATTATAACCTACTGTTGCTACAATGTTACACATAAATAACCACAAGCAACGACTCCTTAAAATTACAGGATTTATTTAACTTTGACATACATAGATCGAAGATCAACAATTTAAGATAATTTATCCCTGTCATCTATTCCAAGAAAAAAATAAATAAAGCAAACAAACACTTGCACATAACCATCAACAAACAAGTGTGGTTAGGTGTGTGTGTGTGAGAATGGAGGAGGGGAAGAGTGATCTAAATGGTGTTCACATCCCAATCCAAAATGGCAGATACACCTGTTCTCCCCTCACTCAAAATGGCAGCTGGAGTTTTCCTACATAATATAGGAAAATAAGGACAGGAGAGTAAATGAAACTCTGCTGGTGCTACATTTTGTAGAATGTATAGAATTTAACTACCGATCATTGTACAGTAATGCAGGTGACCATAGGTAGAATAAGTAGAAACTGTGAACTAAAGAAATAACATACAGTGTATGTAAATGTAGTTTCAGTACATTAATGGACTATATGAATTTAAGGGTACTTTAACCATGTTTTTTTTAACTGAAACTATAAATGATGCAATCTCATGTACTGTCAAACACTAAAACAGCTGCATGTGGTTAAAACAGCCCTCAGGATGGCTTTCATACTGCAGCACATGGTTTCCATCCAAACTGAGTGCAGCTGCTGGAAGGACGAGGATCAGGGGCGAACTGATGAGTTGGTTCATAGATTCAGCGCCACATCGTACACGAGTCACTCTGAGCCCAGGGGTTACATGAATCATAAGAAATGGTCAATGCTTATTTCATGGGCCCCTATTACAGACTTTTTAAAGGTAATAAGTACTTTACTTGAGGCATGGCCCAGATTATTCTTCATGTTATGCACAGCAGCTCCAGTGAAGCAGTCATTGGCAGTGAAAGTCTTTATTCTCAGGCTCCTCCAACAACGCAGATATGTATTAAAAACAAGCCCATTCATAAAAGAACTTATTATCACATATACTGAAATCTAGTGCAGCAGCAAACAGCTTGTAAACAAGGGTGGTGCAGGACCAGATGCTGCAGTACCAGCAGCAGGGAGAACAGTTTGTGGCTGGGGTGGTCGGGGTCTCTGGTTAGTCTGATGGACTTCTTCCTGGGGTGTAGATGTCCTCCATGGATGCAGCTCTGTCCTGCTGATGTGCTGAGCAGTTTTCTCCTCCCTCTGTAGAGCCTAACCGTCGAGGGCGTAGCAGCTGCCTGACCAGGAGGTGATGCAGCCGATCAGGATGCTCTCAGAGGTGCACCTGTAGAAGGTGCAGAGTATCCTGGAGTCCATGTTGATCCTCCTCAGCCTGCGGAGGAAGAAGAAGAGCTGTTGTCTTTGTGATGGTGTTGGTGAGGTCCAGGTCAGGTCCTCACCTCAGACCTGACCGATGTTTAACCAAACCAACCTCTAAAAGCATCTGTCCAGCTTCCAGTGAACATGTCTGCTGAAGGTGTCATCATAGTGCTGTCCACAGCGCAGGCATACTGAGTCTGCAGATAGTCTTTGTCAAACTTCTGTCCAGCAGACTGATCCCCCAGACAGGCACTCAGATGGAGGGTGGCTTGAAACCTGGAGGACTGCAGCACCAGCGAGGCGGCCAAACAGACGACAGAGAACGGGACGCTTTGTAAAGACGTCCTCTCTGCTGGGAGGATGAACGGGATGACGATGCGGTTTCTCTCAGGTTCACCGTATTTCTTTGTGAGAGACTCGTATCTCTTCCAGACACCGTCCTCTGGGGGTTTGAGAGGACTGACAGTGATGTTGGGAATCATTTGATCTCCAGCTGTCTTCATGGAGTTCCAGTAGTTTGGCAGTTTCACAGGCCGATGCCCTCCATCAGGAATCAGACAGCCGTCCTTTTTGGCACAGATAAAAACTCTGTGCTGCGGCCTGATGCGTCCTGTAGCGACACCATATGATACGTCAGCACTACTGGTGCAGTTCCAGGGAGAATACAGGAGCACGTCTGTGATGGAGGGCAGAGGCAGGAGGCAGCTGGCTGGGATCATGAAGTCTCTGATCGCTCCGTGGGCCACAAAGGTGATGTCTACACTGTTGCTGTGGTTCTTCTTCTCTTCCACGTCGATGCGTTCTTTCAGGAAATTAAACATGTCCACGACATGGGAGAAGGCTCGGGACTCAGAACCGTCTCTCAGCCACTTCAGGACGCTTTGGTTCCTGCAGTTTTCTATTGCAGACTTTAGTAGTTCTTGCCTTTGTTCCATGTTCCTCCAGGTGTTCCCCATAGAGCGTTGAACTCCAAGTAACAGCAGCTTCTTTCTGTAAAACAGAATGGCAACAACTTCAGCTAGATATTTTCAAACAGAGCATCGTCCTGTCTGATCACTTCTCACCGGCCCGGAGGTTTTTGGTTTAATTTAAAATTTTTAGTAAAATCCCTGAACTCTACCAGCTCTGCCTCCACGGTCTGGATTTGGGCCCTTTGACTTCCTGCTACACTTTTAGCAGCTACTGTGATACCCACTGGTTTTCCTCTGACTGTAGATGGTTTCAGAAAGGTCTCTCATTGAACATGGTGACTCCTGGAAAACTCGGAAACCCTGGAAACCCTCAGCCACATGTGTTGAAGGTACGAAAGTTTTTTATTTCAGACTCACCGCAGTTCATGTAGACGTTTTTCCATCTCTCCTGAAGCCTGCATGACTTCTCTCTCTGGTCTGTGATCAGATCAGAGACTGAAAGCAGAAGCTGACTGTTCCTCCGACCTGAAGGTGAAAACAAAACATTTCTTATTAGATTATAGTGTTGCTGGTAAACTGCTCTCTTCGCTGTGAATCTGAACCTTGTTTCTGAGTTGATGCATCTTCTTTGTTGCAGGTTTGGTTTTAGTGAATTTTAGTTTGGACTGAATTAACAGGTTTTGTTGCCCATGCTGCACCTGACCAGAACCACAAAAGCTGCATAAAGGAGCTATTATTTTTGAAATCTGAAACTAGCAGGCCTCTACTAAAGACTCTTTATTATTTATTTATGTATTTAACAGGGACAATGCACAATAAATGTACTGTAGCAGATATAGCTAAAAGCTAATTCCCATCTGCTGTTCCTGGGCAGGTGCCCATAGCGCGCAAGATATTACAGTTTAAAAAACGATTACCAAATCCAAACCTTACATTTCATAAATATATAGATAAATGCCAACCAATTCAAATAAACCAGACATAACAAACTAAAAACAGACTTGAATATACCAAACCTCCCAAAAACGCAATAAATTCCCATATAAAAGAGAATATCAACAAGCCACATTCAGTGTCTCACAGATCAATAACTTCATATCTGATTGTCCTTCAAACATGTTTTCACACTACCATTAAAATGTTTGAAAGTACTGTGTTCTCTGACACTCAGCGGTGAAGAATTCCACATCCCAGCTGCCTTCACTGAGAAGCAGTTTGGTCTAAATATCGTAGACTGAAACAGTCCCCTCTACAGGAAGCTCGTGTTAACCTGGGCCGGGTGTACTCATTGTTACTTCCAATTTGAGAGGTTGTGGTGCTAAGTCATGAATGATCTTATATACTAACCCACCACTGGACATAAACAGGATGTTTTCAGAAGTCATCAGGTCGTGCTTTTGAACTATTTTACCATAATGATGAGAATTAAGTTTTTTTTTATTTATGACTGTCAGTGGTTGTTAATACAGACTCTGAAATGGTGGCATTAATCCTTTAGTGGAAAAGAGTCTGTGTTTCTATTGGCTGAGTCAGCTCTCACAAAAGAGAAAGCACTTATAAGAGAAAGTGAAACTACAGAGTCCACACTGTACGCCGGTAATCCCCTGGGTGTGATCAGATGCTACAGAGCTGACCTACACCCAGAAACAGACTTTTAACATTCTTCCATTTCATTTATTTGACAGGGACAGCGCACAGTTAAAATAACTGCACCAGAGTTAGCAAGCAGCTAATTTGCATCTGTTGACCCCGGTCAGGTAGACAAAACAAAAGCCACAAAACAACCAGTAAACAACTAATACACTACATAAAATAACAAAATACATTATATCCATCAATGCAGAACCGATAAAAACAGTTTGATACAAAATACAGAATACAGAAAATACAATGCACTCAGTAATCATGACCCTGTTGTGCTGAATTTAAGTTTGAGGCTGGCTTTAAACACTGCTGAACTTCCTGAGTTTCTAATGTTGGCGGGTTTGGAATTCCACTCCCCACTACTTTAAGAGAGACGGCAGATTGATCAAATCACTCCTAGTGGATCTAGTTCTCTAGTTCTTTTTTTAGAAAATTGAATGCAATGTAATGTAACAGCACTTTGAGTGGTTGGAACACCAAAAGGAAGCATACGGAGCATTTACAGTACTGATCCTGCCAGAAACTGATAAGTTCTTGATCAAGCGTCCATATGTGACGAGTTGGAACTGTTTCTTTTTCCTGCGAACACTCAGCGTTGGTGTATATCAACCATGACCATCATCATTACTAACCTAAACATGTGGTTATTATTGTTACCATGACGACGACACTGCCTAACCTTTCACCTCTGAGCTAAACTCAGTGAAGAAAACAGGATCCTACATGTTAATGTTAATGTCGTGGTGTCTGCAGGTCCGCTGCATCACAACATGTCAACTGAGCAAACACTGAGGAAGACCAGGAGACGTGGCAGAAAGCTCCAGAAACAAGAGTTCATCAAGACAGAACCTTTCAGTGTAACATGCTGAGGACAGAAAGGCAGAAGAAGACAGGATCTCAGGACATGATGAGTGTCTGATCTTACCTGCTTTGGAGCTTCACAGGTGAGTTTCTGAGAGCAAATACTAACGTCTGATCATCAGCTCTGTTTTTCATATTTGAGAAGGAGGACACAATAGTGCTGATGATCACTCCTGTGTTTCTATTGGCTGGTTCACAGTCAGCTCTTATAAAAGGGCAAGTACTGATAACACCAAGGAGGGAAACTCCGTGTTTAATGTTTGTGTTTGAGAACAGATGATTTACAGTAAATAATGTCACTTTGAAGCAGAAGAAGTTTAACAGAAAGTAAAAGTGTTTGTTTGTAACATGCACTTCCTGTGCTCTTCTTCTTCTGTCTCCTTGCTGAGCTGATGCTGTGTGAAGGCAAAGGGTGGTTACACAATGTGTGAACACACCCTGACCTCTGACCCCCGACAGCTGTTCTGACTCTATAAAACCGTCTCCCACTGTGATGCCATTAGACACCTGGTCGGGATGAAGTCACTGATATTAAAAGCGAAACTTCTAGTGGAACAAGTTGTTATCTGACATTTGCATCTGATCTCTGTCATAAAGTCCCTGTGGGTTCCTGTAAAGCACCTGGCTTATTGTCACTGAGCAGGTGTGTCAGACTGCTGCTCACCTGGACACTCCAACCACCATCACATGATTTAACAAGATCTGATCTCTGTCCAGCCGATATGTATGGAAGTCTGAGGCTGTCCATATTAACATGAAGTCATTTAATTAATCCGAAACTCGTGTGCGACAGAAGAAACATTTGCAAAGTTAAAATGAAAGAAACAGAGTCACAAAGATGAGTGTGAAGCTTTTCTGTCCATTTCAGGTCACTTTTATTACACAAACACTTTAAAGTCGGGACACATTATCACAAAAAAACAAAACAAACATCAGGTTTATTAACTGTGAACAATCCAAACCAGTTCTGAAAACAGGCCAGCTGCAGCGCACATCCACACAATTAAACAGGTCGGCCTACTCAGCGGCGAGCTGACCACGTAATGATATCAGCCCTAAAATAGCAGAACGGCCGCCGCACCAAATCCAAGCTGAAAAAGCACTTGTAAAGTGACTCAGCTATTTGAAAGGTGAAATCTTTGATAATGTCTTCAGTAGTCCAGAACAATCTTATCTGGGAGCTGTGCGGCCCTCTCCTCCTGTTCTTCTCTCTCCTGTCTCTCCTTGAAACTACTTTTATGAGTGAAGCATGACTTCCAGCTTGCACGTGTGATCTGCTAGTCTGCTGGTCAGATTTTGCATTTCACATGATTTCTGGAGTCTTGTCACATGATCAAATAGAAGATTGGGCATTTAATTGCATATTACCCAGCAATCATCACTGCTTATGTAGCTATGTGACACAAATACCAACGAAAAAGACTAAATTCATTCTGTTGATCTGTGGAATCAATTGGTTTTATATTTCACCGTATTCCTTACAGCATACTGCTTGCTACAGATATCTGACATCTGTGATGTCAGACACCACGGCAAAGGGGAAATGCACATATTAGTGTATAAACAGTTATATGTGTATTTGGTGTTTACTGTTGATTGATGAGACTCAATACATTTTTACCATGTAACTAAGTCCAGCTCGGAACTTGGCGGGTCGCTCCCGTCACGGGTGCAGCTGCACTGTCTATACCGATCTCCCTGACCCCAGTACCTTCTGTACACACTACTACCCTCTGTACACAGGACTGCAATACCAATACCCTCTGTACACAGCACTACAGTACCAATACCCTCTGTACACAGACCTGCAGTACCAATACTCTCTGTACACAGACCTGCAGAACCAATACTCTCTGTACACAGCACTACAGTACCAATACCCTCTGTGCACAGACCTGCAGTACCAATACCCTCTGTGCACAGACCTGCAGTACCAATACTCTCTGTACACAGACCTGCAGTACCAATACTCTCTGTACACAGACCTGCAGTACCAATACTCTCTGTACACAGCACTACAGTACCAATACCCTCTGTGCACAGACCTGCAGTACCAATACTCTCTGTACACAGACCTGCAGTACCAATACTCTCTGTACACAGGACTACAGTGCAGTCTATCAGGGGTGGTGATGGCACAATGGATAAGACGCCTGACTGTGACCCATCAACCATTGTGTCCCTAAGCAAGACACTAAACCCCTAGTTGCTCCAGAGGGAGGCAATGACTAAGAATGACCTGAAGCCTAACCTTGACAAGTATGAACTAGGTTGGCTGACATTGCTGGGTGGCTCAAACTTCTGAGTAAGGGTCACTTCTTTCGTCTGCAGGGCTTGCTGTTCAAGGTGTTGTAGTCCTGTCTCGGCTGCCTTGGCTGGGTGCTGAGTTTCACTGCTCATGCCTGGTCGAGGATATGTTTCAGGGTCGAAGGCCGCGTCAGGTAGCTGGTGAGCAGGGAGGTCAGTACTTATTGCCTTGCTGATTCGCCACGTGCTTGATGAGGTAGCGTGGAGTGCTGCATGGAGGGTTTCAGTTCAGTTTCAGTTCCCTCCTGCAGTGGGGCCTGAGCTTCTCATGCTTGAGTGGACAGGCTCTGCCTGATAGCTACTCTGTAGTTGGGCATAAACCTGTTCCTCAGCTTGCAGCTGGATTCTGCGTTGGCAGAGGAAAACTATTTGTCCAAGAGTATTAGGGAAGGAGTCATCCATAACTTTTAAAGTGGCGGTTACTGTACTGTGCCCTGACCGGAAACCGGATTGCATTTCATTTAAAATGTTTGCGAGTGCAAATATGATTTAAGTTGGGCAGCAATATACATACATTCCAGTATTTTTGAAAGACCAGGGAGATTACAAATTGGCCTAAAATTGTTCAAGTCATATCGATCGCCAGCTTTGAATAGGGTTGTAATGTAAGCTTGCTTCCAGATGGCTGGAACCTGCTTAAAACAAATTGACATGTTCAAAATGTGAGTAATAGGCTCAACTATGACCGGTGCAACCACCTTTAACTGAAAGAGATCCTGACCATCAGGTCCAGGCGCCCTTTTGGGGTCGATTGAATTCAGTGACTGCAGAATATCTTGAACTTGTAGGGCTTCAAAAGGGATGGATTGTTAAAATTATCATTATTTGAGGTAAGGTAATAATTTGATTTAGAGGTCTGAATCGCAGAAGTACATTGATTTCTCAAAGTTCTGAAGCATTGCCAGTCTACCTTACTTTTGGTCCTCTTTGGAAGGGACCACTTCTTTGTACAAAGATGTACAAATATATTTAGCTTTGGCTCAGTCACTTTAGATTATGTTAGTGCCTATAAATATCTGGGGGTTTTCTTGATTTTTGATCTATGAGGTTCTCTAGGGGCATGTGTTTCTCCTATACTGAACTATGCTGCAGGGGTGTGGGACTTGAAAGAATCCAAAACGGTGGATACCATACAGAAAAGAGCCATACAATGTTTTCTAGGGGTTCATAAATTTACTCCGATCCCAGCAATTCAAGGAGATATGGGCTGGGTAACAGGATCTGTTCAGAGAAAATGTGAAATAATATGACTGTGGAACCGTCTAATCAGAATGGCAGAGGACAGAGTAAATAAGTAATATATTTAAAATAATTTAAGTTAACTTAAATTATTCCTGTTAACTCACTTAAAAACAAGTTATTGAAATTTGAAGAAAAATGGTTTGAAAATGTTTTATTGAAGACAAAATTAAGGACATACATGCATATCAAACAGAACTGTAGCGCGTAATTGTATGTTACATCTCATTTATGTAGAAGCTAGCTGAGATCTGAGATTTTGCCTCTGGCCATTGAGGTTGGTTGATTAAAAAATATTCCAGAGAAAAACAGATTGTGTGAGGCACGTGACCTTGGTGAAGTGGAAAGTGAATGTCATTTCCTCTTGTATTGTACATATTATGATGATCTAAGAGAATCATTGTTTCTGGTAGCTATGTGAAAAATCCCTGAAATATTTTGGTATGCTGATGATCAAAAATTAGTATGCTTGTTTAACTATGATGAATTTAAGTTTGCACACTTTGTCTCAAAGGCTTGGAAAAGAAGGCAAACTAGTTTGTTTAACTAGATTTAATTTTGTTTTGCGAATGGGTGTATGTGGGTTGTTATCTGCGTAAATGTAAATGCATCTGTGTATGAACACATACATACATGTATTTGAATACATATGTGCTACTACTTCTAACTCTTGTTTCTATTTGGTTAGCATTGTATATGATGTACTCCGGACCTAACTATCTTGTATATTCATTCATCCATGCGGGCACGGCGTAATTATATGCATGACACAATAACAAAGCTTCATTCATTCATATTCATGAAAATACTTACCATCACGTCTAATGATATCTAGTTAGAATCTAAGACTCAAAGACACAAAGTAGTGCAGCAGCAAATAGCTTGTAAATGGTAGTAAAAAAATATATACATACACTATATTGCCAAATGTTTTGGGTCGCCTGCCTTCACGTGCACGTGAAGGTTGTTGACATCCCATTCTTAATCTGTAGGGTTTAATATGGAGTTGGCCCACCCTTTGCAACTACAATGCAGCATTCAGACCAAACGCGAATTTAATCCTCGCAATCCTCTCCTCGCGGGTGTTTTATCGCTGGACAACTGCCAAGTGTTCACACACAAGGCAATAACGCTAATAAACACAGCTCGCGATTACCACCGCTGTATGAACCAAAAGTAAACATTTAGCTGTGATTTAATAGCAATAAACGGATCAAACTGATGACAAAATAACTACAATATGATGCAGATTTGTTAAATATATGAATTCATGCTTTGCCAGGTCTGTCAGCAAGTTAGCAGGACAACAACTTCGAAAATATTTGTTTTCTGAAAGGAGTTTGAATCGATCAGGGCTATGCTATCCTAACGTGGTCACAGTAAAGTACAACGAAAGCTGCAATAAAGTTACAGACACATATTTTCTGAACTCACCAGGTAGTTCAACTTCCTTGCTTTCTTTTCTCCAAGTAATGCTAAGTTTTGTCCGTTTTTTATGTAATTATATGAAGTAGTTGTCCAACAGAGCTCTGCGTGCCAACCGACGCTAACGACAACAGTGGAACTGGAAAAACACGGAAGCTCGCGGCCGAGAAGATCCAGTGAAGTTAAATCAACTTTGTAATCCCAAAAACTAAAGTAAAAAGCTCATTTAATAAAAGCGGTTTACTCCGAGCTCCTCCGGCATAGTTTTGAGACCATAATCCAGTCCGACGACGGGTGTTTATGTGTCCAAAAGCTGCAGCGCTGCTCCCGGCTCTGTCCTCGACATCTCCCCATAGTTTAGCAGCTCTCCATCGACCAGGGGCATTTTACTCCTCCACTCTTTCTGGTCCTCTCCAAACAACACTCCGTAGCTGTCGGTTACATCCGGACAATATCAACGATGATAGGATATCGTGACTTAGCGCCATGCGTCTTTCTCGCTCGAGGTGGAAATTTTCAACACACGCAAAGGCCTTTGCATCGCCGGCAGCACCCCCTCCACACCGGCCGTCAGGAATCCACTGCATCCGACGCTTTGCATTGGTGATGCAAGGCTTGGATGCAGCTGCTCGGCCATGGAAACCCATTCCATTAAGCTCTCTACGCACTGTTCTTGAGCTAACCCGAAGGCCACACGACGTTTTGTGGTCTGTAGCTATCGACTCAGAAAGTTGCTGACTTCTGCACATTGTGCGCCTCAGCATGCACTGACCACGCTCTGTGATTTTATGTGGCCTACCACTTTGTTTGAGTTTCTGTTGTTCCCACTCACTTCCTCTTTGTTATCATACCACTAACAGCTGACTGTGAAATATTTAGTTGTGAGGAAATTTCACTAATGGACTCACACTGGTGTCAACTTATCACGGTACCACGCTTGAATTCACTGAGCTTCTGAGAGCGACCCATTCTTTCACAGATGTTTGGAGAAGCAGTCTGCAGCCTAGGGGCTTGATTTTATACACCTGTGGCCATGGAAGTGATTGGAAGACCTGAATTCAAAGATTCAGAAGGGTGTACTAAATGTACTAACTTTTGGCAATATAGTGTAGACTGTTATACTGCTGTTGTAAATATATATCTTAAGATGTAATCAGGTGCCATCAGTAAGTTTGCCAGTTGAGAAGTTTAAAGTGACATCAGTCATTTAAGGTGCCAGTAAAGTGACAGTAATGAGCTCAACAGTTCAGCGGTCTTATGGTCTGAGGGATGAAGCTTTCCCTGAGAAGTGTGGTAGTGTGGGACCAGATGCTGCGGTACCAGCAACAGGTAGGACACTTTGGTTCGTGGTGGATGGGGTCTCTGGTGATCCTGTTGGCCTTCTTTCTGCACTGCTGAGTGTATATGTCCTCCATGGACAGCAACTCTGTCCTCTTGATGATGCTGAGCAGTTTTCACCACCCTCTGTAGACCCTAACGGTCGAGGGTGTTGCAGCTTCCTTACTAGCGGTTTGGGGACAGGGGCTGGTGGTCTTTTTGAACCACGTGTGGACTACAGACTGGAGCAGTTGAACATTACTTTGGCTGTGACTGATTCATTCTCTGATACAAAATGTCATGTCATGTTCTGAAGATTGTGAACATATTTGTAAACAGGAAGTGAAATCTGAGAACTTAATTGACAGCTGGATGCTAACTGCTAACCCAGTTTTGACAGTGAGGAGGCCTCAGACCTGACCGATGTTTAACCAAACCAGTATCTAAAAGCATCTCTCCAGGTCAAAGTGAACATGTCTGCTGAAGGTGTCATCACAGTGCTGTCCACAGCGCAGGCATACTGAGTCTGCAGATAGTCTTTGTCAAACTTCTGTCCAGCAGACTGATCCCCCAGACAGGCACTCAGATGGAGGGTGGCTTGAAACCTGGAGGACAGCAGCACCAGCGAGGCGGCCAAACAGACGACAGAGAACGGGACGCTTTGTAAAGACGTCCTCTCTGCTGGGAGGATGAACGGGATGACGATGCGGTTTCTCTCAGGTTCACCGTATTTCTTTGTGAGAGACACGTATCTCTTCCAGACACCGTCCTCTGGGGGTTTGAGAGGACTGACAGTGATGTTGGGAATCATTTGATCTCCAGCTGTCTTCATGGAGTTCCAGTAGTTTGGCAGTTTCACAGGCCGATGCTCTCCATCAGGAATCAGACAGCCGTCATCTTTGGCACATTTAAAAACTCTGTGCTGCGGCCTGATGCGTCCTGTAGCGACACCATATGATACGTCAGCACTACTGGTGCAGTTCCAGGGAGAATACAGGAGCACGTCTGTGATGGAGGGCAGAGGCAGGAGGCAGCTGGCTGGGATCATGAAGTCTCCGATCGCTCCGTGGGCCACAAAGGTGATGTCTACACTGTTGCTGTGGTTCTTCTTCTCTTCCACGTCGATGCGTTCTTTCAGGAAATTAAACATGTCCACGAGATGGGAGAAGGCTCCGGACTCTGAACCGTCTCTCAGCCACTGCAGGACTCTTTGGTTCCTGCAGTTTTCTATTGCAGACTTTAGTAGTTCTTCCCTTTGGTCCAAGTTCTGCAAGGTGTTCCAAAGAAAGCGTTTAACTCTGAGTAACAACAGCATTTCTCTGTAAAACAGAATGGCAACAACTTCAAGTTATTTTCAAACTTACTGTCTTTTGTCTAGCACATCTCTCTCTGTCAGAATATGAGTTCAGTTTTAGCTGATAGTGCCGTTTACTCCTGTCAGTGGGCTTTCAGTCAGATGCTCACACAACAGCAGGAAGTTCACCAGCTCAAGTCAGCATTTGAACAGAAACTTTAAGGAATGAATGGATGTTAACTGGTGGATCCATCTATCCATGTTTTGCCATTATCCTCACATTAGCTTCATAAACTGCATCGTTGGAATTCTTGCTGGGACGTACTGAACAAATTTAACGTGACAGAGTAAATAATAGTTGCTTATATCATACTACTGTCGTGGTTTTGGGTTTGAGGGTTATTATATCCCTTTATTTTGTTAAATGCTTCTTCTTGTGTCTTTGTGACTTGTCTCCCCTGTATTTCCTATTTTACTTTGGTATTTTCTCTTATCTTGTTTCGGTTCACATCACTCCCCAATTAAGTTCACCTGGGTGGCATTACCTTGTCCTGGTATATTTAGTCTTGCTGTTCCCCTCTGTCTTTGCTTGTTCCTCAGTGTATTTTCTCTTGTGTTCAAGTTTCCTCGTGTTTTCTTGGACTGTGTCTTTCTTGTGTTTTGGCTGGACTTTGGATTCTGGACTTTTTTTTTTATTCTTGTTTGCTCCCTACGGGATTTGTTTGCCCCTTGGACTGCTTTCCTGAATCTGATCTCTTTTTTAAAGATATGTTATGGGGCATTTTTGCCTTCATTGGATTAGGATTAGATTGGATTAGTGGATAAATGTCAGGAAACAAGTGAAGAAAGAGAGATGGGGGCGACACGCGGCAAAGGACCACAGGTCAGATTCAAACTCGGCCCGCTGCAGGAAGGACTCAGCCTTGTACATGGGCCTTGCTCTACCAGGTGAGATAAAGCGCACCCCAGCCAGTAAGATTTGTTATTTCATTACAATCCCTGAACTCTACCAGCTCTGCCTCCACGGTCTGCATTCGGGACCTTTGACTTGCTGCTACACTTTTAGCAGCTACCGTGATGCCCACTGTTTTTTCCTCTTACGTTGGCCCATATAAACATGGTTTAAAAGGTCTCTCATTGAACATGGTGACACCTGGAAAACCTGGAAACCCTGGAAACCCTCAGCAACATGTGTTGAAGGAAAAAAAGCTTTTCATTTCAGAGACTCACAGCATTTCTCTGAGACTTTTTTCCATTTCTTCTGAAGCCTGCATGATTTCTCTTTCTGGTCTGTGATCAGATCAGAGACAAAAAGTCCACTGTTCCTCCTCCGACCTGAAGGTGAAAACAAAAGATTATAGGGTTGTTAGTAAAATGCACTCTGGAACTCTGAACCTTGGTAAGAGTTGATTCATCTCAAGCTTTCCAGCATATTGGTGGACCAGAGGCAAAGAGTTGGAATTTGTCCTGTAATCAGGCGCCCTGCCCGGACAGGACTGCACTAAAGACTCTTCAGTGGAAAAGATCCTGTGTTTCTATTGGCTGAGTCAGCTCTTAGAAAGAGAAAGTGAAACTACAGTGTCCAAAATGCTCGCTGGTAATCCCCAGGATGTCATCAGGGAAACTGCTACAGAGCTGATCTAATAATTATTATTGTAATACATTTTATTTATAGGCACCTTTCAGAACTCTCAAGGTCACCTCACAAAACACAATAATAAGAAACAACTACAGTGCATCCAGTCAGGCTACATAAGCAAGTGGAAACTATTATTCGTTACGTAAAGTCACTTTATTTGAACAATGTTACTGATACGGTGCCTGATGTTGTTGTAAACCTAACAGAGTACGGCTACAGCTGTGGCTCAGGGGGAGAGCGGGTTGGCTACATATTAGAAGATCGGTGGTTCAATCCCCGGCTCCTCCAGGCTCCATGTCTGAGGGTCCTTGGGCAAGACACTGAACCCCGAATTTCCCCTGATGTCTGATCCATCAGTATATGAATGTTAGTTCTGTCTGAGCACTCAGGCTCAGTGTGTGAACATAAGAGAATGTAGTGTAACAGCACTTTGAGTGGACAGAAGACTAGAAAGGAACCATACGGAGCATTTACAGTCAAAACAGGATCCTACATGTTAATGTTAATCTGGTGGTGTCTGCAGGTCCGCTGCATCACAACATGTCAACTGAGCAAACACTGAGGAAGACCAGGAGACGTGGCAGAAAGCTCCAGAAACAAGAGTTCATCAAGACAGAACCTTTCAGTGTAACATGCTGAGGACAGAAAGGCAGAAGAAGACAGGATCTTACCTGCTTTGGAGCTTCACAGGTGAGTTTCTGAGAGCAAATACTAACGTCTGATCATCAGCTCTGTTTTTCATATTTGAGGAGGCGGACACAATAGTGCTGATGATCACTCCTGTGTTTCTATTGGCTGGTTCACAGTCAGCTCTTATAAAAGGGCAAGTACTGATAACACCAAGGAGGGAAACTCCGTGTTTAATGTTTGTGTTTGAGAACAGATGATTTACAGTAAATAATGTCACTTTGAAGCAGAAGAAGTTTAACAGAAAGTAAAAGTGTTGGTTTCTAAAGGAAGCACAGAGTGTGGAGCCACACTCTGTGCTTCCTTTAGAAGAAGCTCTGACATTAAAACACATCTACAGGATGTTGAACTCCGTCCTGCTCAGGACACAAAGCTCCCAGGTTCTTCGGGAACAAACACAACAAGCTGAACTTTAGCTGCATGTTAGCAGAAGATAAAGAAAGTTGAACGTGGCCGACTGTGGAATCTGCTGCCTCTGAAGAAACGGCTCAGTCTGAACTAAAGAGAGCTCAGTGAAACTGACCTATGAATATTATTATCATTATTACTCCATATAAGGCAGATAAACCCCCCTACAACTTACACACTGCTCCTTAAGTCAGGTTTTTTCAAACCTTTCAGTTGTTACTTACAGCACAACCTCTGACCTTCCACTGACTCGAATTTTTATACACTTGCAATCAAAATTCTTCATGATATATTCAATGACCTCTCCAGTCTCAACATTATCCAGCCCCTTCATGGCGAGCATCTTTAGTACTCAGCAGAGCACCCTGAGCTGATGCTGTGTGAAGGCAAAGGGTGGTCACACAATGTGTGAACACACCCTGACCTCTGACCCCCGACAGCTGTTCTGACTCTATAAAACCGTCACACAGTGATGCCATTAGACACCTGGTCGGGATGAAGTCACTGATATTAAAAGCGAAACTTCTAGTGGAACAAGTTGTTATCTGACGTTTGCATCTGATCTCTGTCATAAAGTCCCTGTGGGTTCCTGTAAAGCACCTGGCTTATTGTCACTGAGCAGGTGTGTCAGACTGCTGCTCACCTGGACACTCCAACCACCATCACATGATTTAACAAGATCTGATCTCAGTCCAGCCGATATGTATGGAAGTCTGAGGCTGTCCATATTAACATGAAGTCATTTAATTAATCTGAAACTCGTGTGCAACAGAAGAAACATTTGCAAAGTTAAAATGAAAGAAACAGAGTCACAAAGATGAGTGTGAAGCTTTTCTGTCCATTTCAGGTCACTTTTATTACACAAACACTTTAAAGTCGGGACACATTATCACAAACAAACATCAGTTTCATTAACTGTGAACAATCCAAACTTAAAACCCTCCTGCTGGGCTGGATGTGACGCCTCTCTGTCCACATGCTCAGCTCGTCATGTGTCACCTGGACGTCGTCTAATTTACGGTTTCTGTATGTCCATCAGGTCTCTAAATATTAAATAACTATTCTTGAAATAAGGCACGCTGTGATTCAAAGTTACATTCAGTGGATTCAGATTATAAACAGACTGTCCAGCAGATACTTCACTATATTGATCTTCAGTATATAAACATGCAATAAACTGTTACCAACAGACCAACGCAGCTGTTTATTAATGTGTTAACTTCTGCAGACAGAACAGATGTAATTATAGAAGAACAAATACTGAGCGTTATTGCTTACAGCCACATTATATTGCGTTATTAATATTTTTTTCATGTTTGTATACTGCTAATAGATGCTGAAGTGGGACTTTAAGTGAAGTGTGAAAGTGCAGAGGACTCTCAATAAACAGGATTGTTAGGAATAATGTGATCTATCAAACACATAAGGCAGACATCAGACATGTTACATTAACAGATAACTCTGTTACTCAGTTCCTCCTACAGGAAGCCAGAAAGACTTCAGATTCAGGTTTTTAGATTTGAATTCAGACCTCATGTGATTTTTGTTTCCTTCCAAAAAACTTTCACAATCATTTATGAGCTAAATCTGAAGTTAAACCTGCAGAACCTCCTGAGAAAACAAAGAGAACGTTGAAATGATGAACCTGTTCCAACGTGAGGCTCATTAAGGCTCAATATCTTTTTACTAAAGTGCTGAAATTGTCCATAAAATGTTAAACCATAAATTCACAATATGAAAAAACAAACTTAAAATCTGAACTCAAACTCTGTGTTGCAAATGTTTATATGCTGCATGGAGTCTTCATCAGTTCTAGAAGTTCAGTCTGTTAAAACAGAGACTTTCATGTTTCTGCAGGTTGGATAATAAAGTGACGGGTGACTCCTCTTCATCATCATCTTCAGCTCCTCTCGCTCACTGCAGGGGGGAAAGTCAGAGGTCAAAGGTTAATCTGAGATGAGCAGAGGTTCCTAAAGACCACATCTGACTCCTATCAGCCAATCAGCGTCCTCTCTTGTCCTCAGGAGTGGACAATTGGACGCAGTGTTCGACATCAATGTCAGACAATAGGCTACTTACAGGATTATATTCAGTTTGCTAAACTCCGCCCCCTTACTTAATGTTGCTAATCTGTCAACCAACAGTTTACAATGATAACACTGCAGATTTAACATCAACCTTCACAGTGAGAAACAAACAGAAGCAAAAACAGCTTCTCGTTTCTAGCCGATGACCGTCAAACTTTATGAGCTGTAGCCAGCTAGCTAATTAAGCTAACATTAGCTCTGTGAGATGTTCCAAACAGAAGGCATTACTTTCAAGTGAAGGCATCTCTGCTTACATTGGTTTCAAACCGCCTTCGAGGGCAGCACTGATGGCAATGTGTGTCAGTAGAGACGCTAGCCTTAGCATCAGCTAACTAGCCAAACTTGGTTGGTTACAGTCACGGGCTAATATGATAGTTCAGTGTTTAGTTCTTTCTAGCTTTTCAAAAATCAAAGTGAGAAAACTACTAAAACCTTTTAAAAACGTATTTCTGTATAGGAATTCAGTTGTTTGTCCGCCATCTTGACCAGTTTTTGTAAGCGGCTGCGGCCGCTGGTTTATGGGTAACAGCAGCATCATGCATCGATGATGTTTTCAAAACTGGCCGTTACGGGGGCAGCTTGAAAGCATCTTACGATCGTTTGAGCCGTTTGGAACAGCACTCGATGCCTCGCTGTGCTGTTAGACACCTTCTGAGACAGCAGTTTAGCCCCTTTCCAACACAGCCGTTGTCTCCCGCTGACATTTATTAAAGCGAGACACCTTTAAAACTTAAATATTCAGCTGATGCTATCATGCTAACAGACCGAAGCTAAAGCTAACAGGTCATTGGCCTACCGTGCTGCTGTGTTCAGGGGCAAAGGTCACGCCTTTGCCTGCTCTGTCCTGAGATCCGCTGCTGCTGCCGCAGACCAGGCTCTTCTTCATGATACCTGAACATCAGAACAGACACGGGTGACGTTCATGTACTGATTATAAATGTTAATATTCTGTTTGTCCAGCTGCGGTGTGTCCTCCCCACCTGCAGACGGCAGCGCGTCCGGTCTCTGCTGGCTGCTTTTGTGAGAAGGAGGGTGGTTTCCGGTCCTGGAGAGGCGGCGCTGGCGTGGGTTCAATATGGCGGCCAGAGAGACAATGCCGGGGGGCGGGACTTTACCCATCCTCAGATACAAGTCCTTGATCTCTCGCTTCTGATTGGCCTGCAGGTTCTGCACCTCCGCCAGGTGTCTGGGATTACAAAGGAAAGGTTAAAGGAGGATTCATGGGGGATTAAAGGAGCTCAGTGTTAAGAAGGTAAAGGTTGTATCGTAACATTTCTCAGCAACTGAATACGAACAAATTACTGCAGATGTTGAAAAGTTCTGTAGAAACAGCAACAGTCTGCAGACCTCACCTCCTAAAGGAGATTTCAGTTTACCCTTCCAGAGACAGATTAGGTAAAATATGCTGGAAAGTTATGACGGTTGTGTTTCTGGACATGTCACTGTGTCCGTCGCCTGCAGCAAAGCGTAATGTCCGTGTTGGGATAGCGCCTTTCCAGTCTTTTCGCCCACTCAGAGAGCAGAGACTAAGGCTCACAGGAAACAGAAACTCATTCACACACAGATGGAACAGCCATCAGAGGCAGTTTGGGTTTCAATTAGCCCAGGGACACTTGACATGCCCATGAGGAGCGTTTCAGAATCAGAGTGTTTTGCCTGATTTTGCTGACATGTTTAGATTTTGTTGATTTGTTTTATTTCTTATGAAAATTGGTAGATTTATCTGTTATCTCTTTTCTTTTTAATGTTATCTTCCTACTTTTAAAATAGATTTTGTGTAATAATAATTTCCCATCATCAGAACCCTCAGAGGGTCTCATGACATCTTTGCTTTTTGTTTTCATGTTGTTTTGTTGACAGAACTCAGATAAATAGTCTCTTTTGGGAAAACAACATCAGCATCAATCCAAACGTTACCTTCCCCGGAGCTCCTGCAGCTCCTTCCACATCTCCTCGCTCTCGCTCTCTGATTCGTCAGAGCTGATGCAGGGTGCTGGGCGGTTCCATGATTGGCTGAAGCTGCTGCCACTCGAGCTGGTTGACCCCTCCCATGGACTGCCACTTGGCCTCCTCTTCTTCTTCTCCTCTTCCTCCTCTTCCTTCTGTGGACCAGGGTTTTCATGGTCACCCTGGAGACGTGGGGGCAGCGTGCTTAGCTCATCTGTACTGCTCCCTGAGCTCTCTGATTGGTTCGGCCTGGAGGGAGGTGGGGAGTGGGCAGTGGGTGTGGCCTGGTTGAGGGGGCGGGGTTCCTGATGACAGGCAGCAGGAGTGTCTTTAGAGGCCGTCACCTGGAAACGACCAATGGCAAGGACTGAAGTTTTCTTCACTGAAAGAGAAACAGAAGAAGAAACCGAAGTTACTTCAAAGCACGGGGCACTTCTTGTCAGCTTGGAGACGTTGCGAGGCTACCCGGCCGACCAATCACAGTTCTTACGGCCCGCGTTGCCTCGACGTGTAGTTACATATTTGAGGACGTGCAAATCAGGTTACTGCGTAGGGTATCGGGCTATGCAGAGGCTACGCCGTCGATTGGACGCGGAAGTATAAATTGCACTTTAGTGATAGGATGAGAAGCCAAGTCATCCGTGAGGAACTCGGAGCAGAGCCACTGCCAGTTGAGGTGGTTCAGGCATCTGGTAAGGATGCCCCCTGGACGCCTCCCTAAGGAGGTGTTCCAGGCACGTCCAGCTGGGAGGAGGCCTCGGAGATGACCCAGGACTAGGTGGAGAGATAATATCTTCACACTGGCCGTGGGTACGCAGCCAAAGCTGGCTAATGCGGCTCGGGAAAGGGAGCTCTGGGATCCTCTGCTGGAGCTGCTGCCCCGCGACCCGACCCCAGACAAGTGGTTAAAGAAGGATGGATGGATGTACGATGTTGGTTGCCTCATGTGTCTCACCTGTGTTAACCGCCCTGCCAGCTTGTGTGTTTAAAGTCAGTGTGCCTCCCTGGTCTTTGTCAGTCCGTTACTGTTGTGTGTTTCTGTTTCTGTTTTCCTGTGTCTGCTCTTGGCATTTGTGACATTTAGTTTTTGACATCAGCCTCAGACGTTCATTATATAACATATTAGTTCATTTCTATAAAAATCTACTCTATTTGTGAGATACTTTGTGTTTTTGATGGTTGGAAAGTCTCAGAGTAAAGATGTAAACAGGCAGACTCACACACAGGTGTGACTTACCTTCCTGGATGGGGGACAGACCGGGTGAGGGTAACATGGGGGAGGACACCTGGACAAAAGAAATAACATCATGATCAGAGTTATAGATTTGACCTGATGCCTCATGGTGCTCATTATGTAAACTTTATTATGGCTGTTTGGATCCTCGTCTGAATCCAGCAGCAGCGACAAAACAGAACATCAGAAAATAATAAAAACAGGAAGCTAAAGGTTTAATTTCATGTCAGAAGATCAAATATGTTTCCTGTTGGTGTCTTACACTGTTGGTAGGACGCAAGACAGGTGGTGAGGAAGTGGGGGAGGCACAGAGCTCGCCTTTTGGACTGGGAGCACTACTGATACTGGGAACAGTTGACCGAATAGGAGCGGTGGTCAGACTGGAAACACTGGTCGGTTTGTGTGCAGAGGCCACATTGGGAACGCTGGCCCGAATGGGAGAACTGGTCAGACTGGAAGCCCTTGCCTGAATGGGAGCATTTGTCCGATTTGGAACCCTGGTCGGCCTAGAAGTGCTGGTCCGAATGGAAGTACTGTTCAGACCAGGAGCACTGGTCAGACTGGGAGTACTGTTCAGTCTGGGAGCACTGGTCAAACTTAGAGTTCTGGCAAGACTAGGATTACTGTGCCTGTTAGGAGCACTGGTTAGACTGGGTGTACAGGTCAGATTGGGAGTACTGACCCAGTTGGAAGCACTGGTCAGACTGGGAGAAGTGGTCAGATTAGGAGCACTGGTCAGACTGGGAGAACTGGTCACATTGGGAGCACTGGTCAGACTGGGAACACTGGTCAGACTGGGAGCACTGGTCACATTGGGAGCACTGGTCAGACTGGGAACACTGGTCAGACTGGGAGCACTGGTCAGACTGGGAGCACTGGTCAGACTGGGAGAAGTGGTCAGATTAGGAGCACTGGTCAGACTGGGAGCACTGGTCAGACTGGGAACACTGGTCAGACTGGGAGCACTGGTCACATTGGGAGCACTGGTCACATTGGGAACACTGGTCAGACTGGGAGCACTGGTCAGACTGGGAGCAGAAACAGTCTCTGAACCTGTGAAGCAGATAAATGATTGGTGAATCTGTTCAGTCTGGTGTGATACCACTGTGATGTCAGCAGGGACTCACCATTAGGGGGCGGAGCTGAGCTGACCTTCAGCTGAAGTGGACTGTGAGGCTGAAATGAGTGAATGAATTCATCACTGAATGAATGAATTAACAAACTGTTCCAGCTCCTCATATTCAGAGTTTCGTCGGTTCCTACCAGGCTGATCTTACTTCTCTGAAAGAATAAATGTTTATGCCGCTAATCCACAGAAACCAGGTCTGTCTAACCCCCTACCCCGAACCCAGAAACCGTATCTGTCTTATCCCCTACCCCGAACCCAGAAACCAGGTCTGTCTAACCCCCTACCCAGAAACCGTATCTGTCTAACCCCCTACCCCGAACCCAGAAACCGTATCTGTCTAACCCCCTACCCCGAACCCAGAAACCGTATCTGTCTTATCCCCTACCCCGAACCCAGAAACCGTATCTGTCTTATCCCCTACCCCGAACCCAGAAACCGTATCTGTCTTATCCACTACCCGTACCCAGAAACCAGGTCTGTCTAACCCCCTACCCCGAACCCAGAAACCGTATCTGTCTAACCCCCTACCCCGAACCCAGAAACCGTATCTGTCTTATCCCCTACCCCGAACCCAGAAACCGTATCTGTCTTATCCACTACCCGTACCCAGAAACCAGGTCTGTCTAACCCCCTACCCCGAACCCAGAAACCGTATCTGTCTAACCCCCTACCCCGAACCCAGAAACCGTATCTGTCTTATCCCCTACCCCGAACCCAGAAACCAGGTCTGTCTAACCCCCTACCCTGAACCCAGAAACCATATCTGTCTAACCCCCTACCCTGAACCCAGAAACCAGGTCTGTCTAACCCCCTACCCCGAACCCAGAAATCGTATCTGTCTTATCCCCTACCCCGAACCCAGAAACCAGGTGTGTCTAACCCCCTACCCCGAACTCAGAAACCAGGTCTGTCTAACCCCCTACCCCGAACCCAGAAACCATATCTGTCTAACCCCCTACCCCGATCACAGAAACCAGGTCTGTCTAACCCCCTACCCCGAACCCAGAAACTGTATCTGTCTTATCCCCTACCCCAATCACAGAAACCAGGTCTGTCTAGTTCCCTTCCCCGAAAGAATTTCTTCTTCCCAATTGTCCATTTTGGTCCAAACCAGGTTTATTTAGTTTACTTCTTTACTTCTTAATACCTGCCTGGACAACAGAAAGAGGTTTCTCTAATCCCCTACCCCAAGTACGGAACCAGGTTTCTCTAATCCCCTACCCCAAGTACAGAACTAGGTTTCTCTTATTCCCTAACCCAAGTACTGAAAACATTATCTGGTTGCTGACGTGCGGATAAAGTTCTGAATATTCTTGAGGAGCCCCTGAACTCACCATCATTACCCAGGTAAGTCTGTTTTAACAGGAACTCACCTGTAACTGATGCTCCCATCCTACCTGAGGTGCGTCTTGAGTCCGGCCAGGCGGCAGCCCCTGCTGGCTGTCTGGGGGGGAGTCTGTCTGAGGGGTGGGGGGGCTATAGGACACCTTGGGTGAGAAGGGCGCCGGGAAGGAGGCTTGGCTTAGAGGATGGAGGTTGGTGCCCAGGGATGGAGACATGGGGGGAGTAAGGGGAGCCTGGGGGGAGGGAACTGGAGGAGACATGGGCTGAGAGTGAGGGTGAAAGCCCTGGTTGGGGGTCACAGGTGGAGGCATGAGGGACTGGGCCACACTCATGGCCAGAGAGAGTACACTGGCCAGAGAGAAGAGAGGCTGGTCAGGGGGGGGCCAGTGAGGAGGGGAAGGAGGGGGGAGAGCTGAGGAAGACGAGGAGGGGCTGAGGAGGGAGGGGTTACTCTGGACTCGGGGGAGGCTGGTGGAGGAGCCCTGGGTGGGGAAAGGGGCGTTGTAGGGGGGAGACGGGAGGTAATACTGACGAGGAGGGGGGGGGTTTGGGTGGGTGTAATGGAGGGGGTATGGGGGGGTCTGATGGGAGGCAGCTGGAGAGAGAGAGGCGGGGGTGGGGGGGGGTAAGATTATCAACAGCAGAACAAAATGGGACAGCATGTATCTGAAGCTCGTTCTCATTCCCAGAGCGTCAAACAGCTACGCTTTGTCACGTCTTTCAGTGTCCAACGCAAATGGCAACGTTTGGCATCGTAGTTCTACACACTGGGGGAAGCCCTTTAGCACCATCGCTCAACACTAAACGTACTTCCATAAATAACACAAAAGTCCAAGGAAGGAGGTGGTCGGGTGGGACAAAATCACCCTGGAGACTGTATCCCATGTGGCCTCAGGTGAAGATACCAACGATGGTCGTTCAGTCTTGGCCACAGGTAGTCTTAACGACCGTAACGACTGTCGTCACAGCAACAAGGAACACTAACGAACCAGCGTATCGATGACCCGGCCCAACGACCCCACTGAGGTTAAATAGCTGAGTTTCCCTGCCAGCCAGTCAGAACTGAAGAAGTCCTTTGGATGAGGGACGAAACGTCTTCCAGTATCTTCAACCAAGTCCAGTTGCCCTTGATTTTAACCTTCTTTGGATAGCATTACAAAACGTACGTAAGTAACGCAGTTATTTTCTGCCAAACCTTGATCTTTTTCTACCTGTAACTAAGTAGTTTTGTCACCTCAACTTAACCAAGCAGCAAAGTTTCACAATGTTAGTTTCATTTTGAAAGTCTAACTGGAGGTTATTCTTGCTAACTTGACCACAAAGCCCTACACGTACAAAAACAACGCTAAAAGGTACCCAGGGTGATAAAAAGTGAGCAAGCGTCCACATGTGACACCCTGGGATGAGAACAGCTTGTCCGTTATACATGAACGAATAGAGAATGCGTTCGTCTACCTGTTGAGGTGTGGAAAGACTGTGACCTCAGTGATCTGACGGAGGGCGTGGCCTCCGAGTCAACGTAGAAGTCTACGCCCTTCAAGGGGGAGGGGTCAACATCTGCAATGTCTGATGGGACGACACAGCGTTTGATCACTCAGTCAGCTTGTAAAGATTATAGTAAATGTTTCAGCAGCAGTCAGAGATGCATCAAAACATGATCTCAGCTGTCGTATCTGAAAATGTGTCACATTCAGGAACTGACAGCCAGGAACAAGCTACCTGAGATGCTCTGTGCAGCTGTTAGCAGCTAACGGTATATATATATATATATATACAGAGTTTGGTATCCTTACAAATGTATGTGGCTTTTATTATCCGATGGTGGACTGCGTGTGAAACATCAAATTGTCTGAGAGGCAGGACCACCCACTCCACGATCATCCTGTCACACACCTTCTAAATCTTTTTCTAAACTATTTCGATAACATCCTCCACCTTTTTCCTTCTTTTCTTACCAGGCAGTGAAGACGTGGACTGAGTTCTGGAGAGGCTCTGGGCCGGCAGCTTTGGGTAAAGAAAATGTAAAATTATGAAAAACAACGCCTCAGGACACATTACTACTGAGATGAAATGATTTGTCATTGTCAGGAAATTGACAACAAACACAACATTCGACTAATTGTTGCTCGGACAAAAAAAGACTTTTGAAGACGTCGCTTTGGACTTCAGGAAAATCAGAAAACAGAAAATGATTCGTTCACACACACACATACCATGGACTCGAGCTGCGTGGAGGCATTCAGGTGAGATGACCTGTTGGCATCGGCCAGCTGCTGTTTATGCATCATAGACTCCGCCCTCCTGATGATGTCATACATGCGGACAATGAATCCTTCTCGCTCCTCAGGCAGGATGAAGTCCCTGTGGATCTGAACGCAGAGATATGAAAGCACAAGGTTGCACCATCATAACCAAAACTAAATTCATCAGAACAGTATTTCCTGAAAGAATTTTGCTTTCCAGGAAAAATAACTGGAGGAGGGTTGTTTGTATTTTTGTGCCTCGTAGAGCACTGCGCTCCCAGAATGCACCTGTGGTTCCTAGAGTCTCCAAAAGTAGACTAGGAGCCAGAGCGTTCAGCTATCAAGCTCCTCTCCTGTGGAACCAGGTTCCAGTTTGGGTTCAGGAGGCAGACACCATCTCCACATTTAAGAGTAGGCTTAAGACTTTCCTCTTTGATAAAGCTTATAGTTAGGGCTGGCTCAGGTGAGTCCTGAACCATCCCTTAGTTATGCTGCTATAGGCCTAGACTGCCGGGGGATTTCCCATGATGCACTGAGCTCCTCTCTCTCCTTCTCTATGCAACCTCATCCCATTAGACCGGCAGACTGAACCAGAGCTGTGCCCTGATTGGCTGTTGGTGCTCACCATCACAGAGGCGATGTCCTCTGGATTGTCTCCGTCCAGATCGAACTTAAACGTCACCATCTTACTGTTGTGAGTCTGCAGCTGACACTCCACCACCCGGTCCACCATGTCTGACATCTGAACACACCAGCACACACACTCCGTCACACACGATGTTTAGATTTACACATCATCTATGGCTGTAATGATGACAGTGACTCAGGTTTTCACCCCTGTCATTCTCAGACGAGCTCTCGCTTTCCGCCTGAACTGCTTCGCGGCCGCCTGTGGGGTCACCTCCTTGTTCCCTCTGTCTGATTGGCCGTCATTGCCGTCACTCAACCCTGAGGTCACATCAGAGGCGTAGCTACAAACAGAAAAAGCCACACGAGCAAGTACAAAACAGATTCAGGAGGTTTACTGAGTACGTCTGTGTGCCGTCGTTGAGAGGACTGAGCCTCAGTGAGACGACGCTCGTGGGAAGAGGACGTTTTTTAGAAAGTGGGGATTTCGACATATTCTTACCCCAACTCGACCAACATATGGACGGTTGGTCAACACCCATTAGCGTCTGTTTTTAACGCCCTGGGTACCCTTTAGCCTCATTTTTTTAGATGTCACGTTAGCAAGAATAAATATGCATAAGTTACGCAACTTATGTAACAAATAAAAACATTGTTGACTTTTTGTTTCACACGGGAAACAAACACCTGTCTCCTGGTTGAAAGTCCAGTTTCTGGCCCACCCGTCCACCCCAACCAGCGCCTCAGACTTACGCTTTAAAAAACAACGCTACAGGGTTTCCCCAGAGGGTTACAAAGGGACACCAAGGGGTGTTGACCACACGTCCATGTGTGAATGTGACTTGGGAGAACGGGATGGAAATATGTGTTTGTGTTACCTGTCGACAGGTGAGGTAAAGCCGCTGACTGATCCAGATTGCAGTCGCTCGGCATTGTGGGACACGGCGATGCTCTGGAGAAGACAAACAGAAGTGACTGTGAGTGAGTTTATTTAGTGTTTATTTTCCCATGATGCAACGGGAAAACCAATTCCACAAGGTCAGTAAAAAGCCTCACAGAGCTGATTGGTCCGCACCGAAGTGCGACCAAAGTTCATCTTTTGTTGCGTTCAGTTAGTTCTGGTTTGGTTCCACTTTGCTAATATGCGAGCTAAAGAACTTTACATGAGGGACCTGCGTCCTGTCCTCATCTATGTGGGGGCGTCTCCCTGTACTTGACATCGATCGGTCTGTAAACGGACGTTATTCTGACGTCAGTGTGTCGTTGGTAGCTTTGACAAGAATGAATGAACCGCTGTACGTCTTTTCACACCTGTAACTTTAGTTTAGATCAAACTCAAAAGTCGGGAACAAACGGGTGTGAAAGCCCCCTGAAGGTCTCTCATGTCAGTACTGTTGTTTCTCCTCTAGAGGGCGACACAGACGTCATTTCTGGACGGACGTCAGAGATCACGATGTCCTCAATAAACTGAATGATTCAACATGTGTTTCATGTGTGAGAGTTCAGTATTTGGGACTGAGTAAATAAAAAACAGCAGTTGTAAAAGCGTGTTAGCCCCGCCCCCATGTCTACACATTAGCCCCGCCTCCTGCTCACCTTGGGGAAACGCAGCACGGGGAGGGGTGGCGGTTTGGATCGAGCCCGAGTCACAGAGGGAGGAGGAGGCTTGGGTCGAGGGGTTTCCTGAACCAGGGGAGCAGGGGCGGGGACAGACGGAAGGGGGGCGGGGTTCGTGACCAGAGGGGGCGTGGCCTCAACCTTCTCCTGGACACCAGAGGAGCTAAAGGAGTTCTTATAGTCCGCTGGAGAGGAGAGAGAGTCATGAGTATAAATTTAAATGTTAGAATAATAAATAAACAATAACAAATCATTTCCTGACATGCAGCGGCGGAGTGTGACGTCTGTCTGTCGTCCTCATCGTCGCCGTCTCCTCCCGTCCTGCTGGACACGCTGCTGATCCCAGAGTCCACCGGGCTGCTGCTTGATGATGTCACCGTCCCTGGGGGCGTGGCTTGTAGCGAGCCGGGGGCGGGGCCTGAAACAGCAGCTGAGTCCTGCTGTGAGTTTAAACAGAGAGTTGAGACAGAACAGCTGAGAGGACCCACCTGTCACTCAGAGAAACGTTTTATTTGAACCCCTCCTGTTTATCATGGAGCAAAATATAAACAATGAATAAAAACAATTTAACACGATATAATTTAGTTTATGTGCAGAACATTTAATCCAGTTTATTGGTGTCCATAATGTTTCCAATGAAGCTTTTATGACAGGTGTTTATTGTGCTGAGAGGAGGAATGAAACAAACAAACCTTCCCAGCAGCAGACGTGCTCGTGGCAGGCTTCTGATTGGGCGCCTCAGGTGGTAAGGGGGCGGGGTCAGACTCCTCCTCGACCGCAGCTTCCTTCTGGCGGTTCAGGGCGTCCTCCAGCAGGCGGCCCTGTTTCTCCCGCTGACGCTTTATGGCCGTCACTTGGTGTCTGATCGCCTTGGCAACCTGATTATAGTCCGCCTTACACACGAACCCCAGCACCACCATCTCCTGGGCCACCTCCTCGGGGACGTCCTTGTACACCTCGAACAGGAACTCGATGGCGTTGTTGTCTTTGTATTTCCCGTGAAGCTTCTTGTTGTCGTCCATCCGCAGCCAGAGCTTCAGAGCCGCCTTCGAGCCGTCGTCGTCCTCGGCCAGATCCACGTGGACTCCCAGCTGCTCCTGGAAGAACGGGTGATCCAGCAGGTCCTGAACCGTGAACCTGCAGGAAGAAGGAAGCAAGCCACAGCGACAAACCGCGACTCGGTCAAACACGCTGAAGTCGCTCAAAAGAATCAAAACAGCTTTTCATAAAAAGTAGCGAATCCTGTGGCGTGAAGTCCGTCGCTCTCTGTCTGCTAACTTCTCTCATCCTGCAGCCTGTTGTTGTTGTTTTCCTTACGTTGCTGCCTTCAAAATAAAAGCGCATAAGCCGTCTGTTGGAGCTGGATCAAATGAATGACGAGTATTTGATATTATTGGATCATTTCTATACAAAGAATATTCTGTTTGAAATAAATAAACTGTTTCATAGTAGTTTCAGTTTTGTGCAAAGGAAATTAAAGGCCCGTCCCAAATAAAAGCTATTAATCAAAGTGTTACGGTATATATGTTGTAGATATATATATATATATATTTACAATCTGTATATATTTACAATCTGTTAAACAAAATACACCTCAGGCCTTTAGTTCAAATGAGAGTCCAAGAAAGATTAAAAAAAGAACCTGACTGACTGTTTGGTTTCTGTTTTACTTTGGTTTGGTTTAAATTCATCAAATTTAAAGATATTGAGTCTAAAAACTGAGTCAATAAAATATCAACCTGCTTCCCACTCTGAGCTAATGTTGCTAATGCTAACAGCTGAGTGATGTAAACATCTTCATCATCATCAAAAGGACCGACTTCATTTCCTGCCGTCACTCTGTGCAGTGATTCACGGCGTCCAGCAGGTGGAGCTGCTGCGCTCTGTCTCACCTGACTGGTGATCCTCACTGATTGGACAGTTTTGGTGATGTCATGTTTCAGTTTCAGCACGATGTCGTCTTTTTTACTCCATTTTAATATTAATATTCATTTTCAGCAGTTATAAGAAATGTTCCCTTCCCTGTCCCAGCTGTTTGATTGGCTGACAGGCGTGAATGCTGCCCTCTGATTGGTCACATTTACCTCTCACTGCTGTCGGGGCGGATGCAGCCCTCGATGATCTCCTTCAGCTCGGGGATGGTCACTTTGGAAAAACTGTCCGGTTTGATTCCCTGAGAGACAAACACACCGTCAACCATCTGCACAAAGACAGGAAGTAGATGGCGCTCAGATGGGCGGAGCCTTACGCTGGTGACCTTGCGGTAGATCTGCGCGGCGTTCTGACACTCGGAGTACGGATACTCGGACGTCGCCATCTCCAGCATGCACATGCCGAAGGCGTAAACGTCCACGGCCTCGTTGTACTTCTCCTCATACATCTCTGGAGCCATGAACTCCGGGGTCCCTGAATGCATCACCAGTCACAACAATAAGTAGGTCAACAACAGAAGCAATCAGACGCCTTACTGTCAGCAGGGGTTTGACCCTGCCGGCTCTCCGTACATGCCGTGGTCTTACCGATGACGCTCTTGGCGAACGAGGCCCTCTTGAGCGTGGCGAGGCCCAGGTCTCCGATCTTGACGGAGGCGACGGGCCCCGTGATGAAGACGTTGTCGCACTTGAGGTCTCGGTGCAGGATGGGGGGGCAGCGGGAGTGCAGGAACTGCAGACCCTTCAGGATCTGGAAGCTCCACCGCTGCAGCAGCTTCAGCTTCATGGGTCGGAACCTGCGCAGGTACCTGAAGGGGTTCAAAGAGATACACACCTGGTCAGGTGAGGAACGCGGGGCGTTCAGGAACTAAAATGAGCTCGGGGCGTTCAGGAACTAAAATGAGTGTGGGGCGTTCAGGACCTAAAATGAGCTCGGGGCGTTCAGGAACTAAAATGAGTGTGGGGCGTTAGGGAACTAAAATGAGCTTGGGACGTTAGGGAACTAAAATGAGTGTGGGGCGTTCAGGAACTAAAATGAGTGTGGGGCGTTAGGGAACTAAAATGAGCTTGGGACGTTAGGGAACTAAAATGAGTGTGGGGCGTTCAGGAACTAAAATGAGCTTGGGACGTTAGGGAACTAAAATGAGCGTGGGGCGTTCAGGAACTAAAATGAGTGTGGGGCGCTAGGGAACTAAAATGAGTGTGGGGCGTTCAGGAACTAAAATGAGCATGGGATGTTTGATAACTAAAATGAGCATGGTACGTTCAGGAACTAAAAATGAGTGTGCGGCGTTAGGGAACTAAAATGAGCGTGGGACGTTCAGGAACTAAAATGAGTGTAGGACTTTCAGGAACTAGAATGAGCGTGGGGCATTTAATGAACTAAAATGAGTGTGGGGCGTTCAGGAACTAAAATGAGTGTGCGGCGTTAGGGAACTAAAATGAGCACGGGACGTTCCGGTACTAAAATTAGCTTGGGACGTTCAGGAACTAAAATGAACGTGGGACGTTACAAAACTAAAATGAGTGTGGGACGTTTGGTAATAAAAATGAGCGTGGGACGTTCAGGAACTAAAATGAACTTGGGGCGTTCAGGAACTAAAATGAGTGTGGGACGTTTGGTAATAAAAATGAGCGTGGGACGTTCAGGAACTAAAATGAACTTGGGGCGTTCAGGAACTAAAATGAGTGTGGGACATTATGAAACTAAAATGAACTTGGGACGTTCAGGAACTAAAATGAACGTGGGACGTTACAAAACTAAAATGAGTGTGGGACGTTTGGTAATAAAAATGAGCGTGGGACGTTCAGGAACTAAAATGAACTTGGGGCGTTCAGGAACTAAAATGAGTGTGGGACGTTTGGTAATAAAAATGAGCGTGGGACATTATGAAACTGAAATTGAGCTTGAGACGTTCAGGAACTAAAATGAGTGTGGGGCGTTAGGGAACTAAAATGAGTGTGGGGCGTTAGGGAACTAAAATGAGTGTGGGACGTTCAGGAACCAAAATGAGTGTGGGGCATTCAGGAACCAAAATGAGTGTGGGGCGTTAGTTGAACTAAAATGAGTGTGGGGTGTTAGGGAACTAAAATGAGTGTGGGACGTTTGATAATAAAAATGAGCGTGGGACATTACGAAACTGAAATTGAGCTTGAGACGTTCAGGAACTAAAATGAGCATGGGACGTTTGATTACTAAAATGAGCTTGAGAGTTTCAGGAACTAAAATGAGTGTGGGGCGTTAGGGAACTAAAATGAGCGTGGGACGTTCAGGAACCAAAATGAGTGTGGGGCATTCAGGAACCAAAATAAGTGTGGGGCGTTAGTTGAACTAAAATGAGTGTGGGGCGTTAGTTGAACTAAAATGAGTGTGGGGTGTTAGGGAACTAAAATGAGTGTGGGGTGTTAGTTGAACTAAAATGAGTGTGGGACAATATAATCTAGAGAACAGGGACCTATTCAAATATTTCCAAGTGAGACATTTCTATAACAGTGAAATAAGGGTGGGTATTTCTCCTGAGGGCAATGACATTGTTCAAGTTTTTATTAATGCTTATAAGCTCCAACCAAGTAAAACTGTCTCTAAATTGTATAAAGCTCTGCAGAAACAAAATGGAAATAATACCTTGTATATTAAGTCAAAATGGGAAAAGGAGCTGTGTATGGAAGTGTCAGAGGGTGATTGGCTTTCGATGTGTGTGACACAACAAACGTCTACTAGCTCGAAAAGATGGAGGGAATTTGGGTGGAAGAATCTGGTCAGATTTTTCATTACACCTCATATTATTAATAAACTAAGGGGTGAACAACAGCAATGCTGGCGACAGTGTGGGCATTGGAACGCCAATCACTCTCATATATTTTGGACGTGCTCAAAGTTAGAGCAATTCTGGGACAGTATCTTCCTAATTACTGGGAGTATAATGGGTTATGTTATCCCTAGAGATCCCAAGATTTTCTTGCTAGGTCTACTACCTGGTGAGGTGGTCCAAAAAGATGACATTTATCTTTTTAAAATTCTAACGATTGCATGTAAAAAGGCTATCACTCGGTCTTGGCTAAAGATCGACCCACCTCGGATTGAGCAATGGAAAGAAATAGTGGAGGAGATTCACTCAATGGAGAAAATGACATACTTTCTACGTATCAAAGGTCACATATATAATAAGCATTGGGAAAAATGGCTTGCATATAAAGAAGTGGAGCAATTCTAACACTTTAATTGTAATACTTTATTTTGTTATTATACAATATATAGTGCCCCTTGTTCTTTGTTTTTGTATGTTGTGTTGTAATAAGAAAAATGCAAAATAAAGAGTAATAAAAAAAAAAAATGAGCGTGGGACATTTGGTAACAAAAATGAGCGTGGGGCGTTCAGGAACTAAAATGAGCGTGGGGCGTTAGGGAACTAAAATGAGCGTGGGGCGTTAGGGAACTAAAATGAGCATGGGACGTTCAGACATTAAAATGAGCTCGGGGCATTCAGGAACTAAAAGGAGTGTGGGACGTTCAGGAACTAAAATGAGCATGGGACGTTCAGACATTAAAATGAGCTCGGGGCATTCAGGAACTAAAAGGAGTGTGGGACGTTCAGGAACTAAAATGAGCATGTGGTGTTCAAGAATTACATTTGCCATTGGATGTTAACTAAATAGTGTACGTACTAAATACTATAAATTGAACGTAATTGTCAGTTGCTCCCAGATTCAGTCTCCATTAATGAAACACTGGGATACTGCTGACGCCAGCATTCTACTTCTAAATACTACAGTATTGTGTTCAATATTCAGATTTTGCGGTTGCTTTTCTGTCGTGGCTCTTGAGTTCACAGTTTATCTGATGTGTGTTTGGAATCAGGATGAAGGTCGCTGCAACCAGAAGTGAAAAACCAGCCGGTACTAAAGAAAATACAACCAGAACTAAAAGTGTAACTACATAAAATCAGGTCTTTAGTCATGAACTCACGTCTTGAGGGTCCCGGACGTCATGAGCTCCGTCACCAGGATGGTGCATTTGTGGCCCCTCAGCGTCGACTTCCAGGAGTCGAAGAATCGGACGATGTTCGGATGCTGCAGAGCTTTCAGCATCTCCACCTCCTCAGTGAACCTCTGACGCTCCGCCTTGTTCAGACGATGAGTCTGAGGGGTCAAAGGTCGTCAATCAGTCAACCAGTTCATTTATGCAACACCTGAAAGCAGAGCTGGACTGGTAGTCTGGCTTTTGCCCTGTGTGCCAAGGCACCTGGGGTCTGATATAATTATATATTTATTAATAATTTTAAAAAAGGGCCAACAACCGGCAAATAAAAAAGAGACAGGTTTTATTTGTTTGTGTTTATTTATGACCCATCAGCTGCTGGAGTTTGGTCACAACCGGTTACAATAATTTATCACATTTATCTGCATTATCAAGGAATAATAACGTAAGTAAAAATAATAATATAAATTTGATTAAATTGATGCAATAAAATGTTTTTATAAAATAATAAATGTAATCAAAGAAAATAAAAAAACAGAATAATAAAGTAAAATGAAATTAAGTAAAAGAATATAAAGTAAAAAGTTAAATTAAAAGGCTGTCTTTAGGCCACAGAGAGAAGTGAGTTTGTTTTATTTGAACAAATTAAGGTTTGGATCTGGAAACCAGCTCAGCACAAGAAAGAAGAACTGCTGCAGAACTCTTTCCTGTCATCACATCGTTGTTTCCAGGAAACGTTCAGGAGCTTATTAAGAAACCCGTAAAATGAAGAGTCGTTAAATCATAATTTAGCAGCATGAAGAAGAGATCAGATCATCTCAGGACCTCTGGAGGGTCCCCGACCCACAAGTTGGGAACCATAAACCGAGAGCTGACCTTTGACCTCATCACCTCATGGGGACCATGGGGCCCGGCCCTGACCGAGCTGGGACCTGAGGTCAGCTGAAGGTTAGCGGTCAGCTGTGCAGTGAATGGAAGTGAAGCTGTGCTCGCTCGTGCGTGAGATAAAGTGTTGGTGGTGACTCAGCAGTTTGTTGTACCGTACACAGTATCTGATTGGACAGACGGCTGCTGGTTGATGTTGATAACAACACACACACACAGAGTTCACTGAAGTGACGCCAAACATTTAAAGGGAAACGTTCTGTTCTAGTTCAGCTCCTTGCTAGTCCTCGACACGCAGACTGGCTCTTCTGATTCGTGGACGGGCTCGCCCTCCTGACCCACGGCCGCCACTCGTCTTGATGCGTCTCATGATGACATCACAGCAGTCAGGTGACGTGACGTGACGTCTCCCCTACCCCCTTCGGGTGTTTCTGGTTACAGAGTCAGTCCAGGTTCTCAGAGCTCTCTGGGACTCAGCTGGTTAATGAGGACGTCTCGCACAAACACAAATACTGTCCTGACACAATCGGCTCAGACGATTACAGATTTTGTTACGATTATAGTCTGAGGAATAATCACAGTTTCACAATTACCACGATTATTATGCATTAATTAAAAGTTCACAACACTAGTAATGACTTAAGATGATTTTTAGTATTTAATTACATTAACAATTATATTTCTATAATATGTAAGTATTATTAAAATAAGAGGAATATTAACTTTATTTATCTCCTGATTCTCATCTCTCATGCAGTGTTAATTATAACTGAAATGCAGTTAATTGTTTATAGTCCTGGAAGTCTATCAGAGCGCAGACAGGAGGAGGCAGCAGGATGTAACGTTAAAAGTTCAGTGACTGAAGGTCTGCAGAGGACTACGATCTTCCAGAAAGGCCCTAAAGAAAAGAAGCGATTTGCGCTGCGCTGGAAGCTGCTCAATACTTTGACCGCGGCGTGCACATGAGCTCGCTGCAGCAACAAACCACCCTGGCGCAGCACAAGACATTGAAAACGGGGTTCAGTCCTTACGGAGTAGCTCAGTCCGTAAGGATCAGGTTGGGAACCGGAGAGTTGCCGGTTTGAATACAGCTCGTATGAGAGTGTTGGTGTGTGGACCGGTAGCTGGAGAGGTGCCAGTTCACCTGCTGGGCACCGCCGAAGGAGGCCTTGAGCAAGCCCCTGAACCCGTAACTGCTCGGGGCGCCTTACTTACTATGTTCATCATGGAATCTCTGTTCGTTAAGCTATGATCGTTCAGACTAGACACTGCAGACTTTTAAGGTGTCTTGAAGCAGGTGGGAACCCTCTCCTGAGACAGTGATGTGTTGAAAATGTCAGTAACAACATCAACTAGCTGATTGGCTCAGGTTTTTAGTACACGGCCAGGGATGTTATCAGGCCCAGCAGCTTTACTCATATTCACTCTCAGCAGGACTCACATCTGCTGTGGATACTGACAGTGGCCGGTCCTCTGGAGGTGGAGTAGACTTTACAGCTGAGATCATAAAAGGTGTTATGTTCATCAGGTAATGTGGCCTCACACATGATGGGGCAGCTCCTGCTGTTGTGGCCTGTGATGTTTTTGATGGCCTGCCACATATCTTTGGTGTTGAGGTCTCTCCAGTCTCTGCTGATGTCTCCGCTTCGCCTCCTTGATGCCAGCTTTCAGTCTCTCATTGGCGGAGCTGTAAGCTTCTTTATCACCCGACTGAACAGTTTGAACTGTTGGTTTGACCCTTATAATCAGCTGGGTGTAAGTGGGCAGGAGAATCAGAGAAATACGGTCTGATAGACCAAAATGGCGGCGGGGGAGGGCTTCGGAGCTGCCAGGATTCTGTATGCAAGGTCCAGGTATAAAACAAAAGTAATATTAAAACCAGCTGAGTACAGTTTACTGAATCTTCCGCCATGTTGGAAATCGGAATCTGCCGTCGACCAAGTTTTAGATTAGTCAGACATTGTGACCTCAAACAACAACCATCAGACTGAATCAGGGTCAAAATCTGAATCTGGGTCTTCCTGTTCCTGTGACTGCTAAACTAATATCAGATGATGTCTGATGGTGTAGATTTGTATGTTTTGGGTAGCAGAAATGACAATAGAGACTGAAAACACAGCAGACTGCTGAAGATTCACTGAACCTGAAGACATTAATGAGTCTACTCGTGAACTTCGCTTCGGTCCAGGTGAGAAAGTCCTGGATTAACCCCAAAGAATGAATGAAGCGTTAGATATTTACCCTGAGAGAGCAATAAATACTTCACCAAACGCTGGGATTCCTCATTCTCAGCCAATCAGAGCTCTCAGACACCAGCCAATAAAACTATAACGTCTCTCTCATTTCTCAGCCGCCTGTTGAGTCTGTCGGTTTATTCTGCTCTGATCCAAGTTCCTCCACCGCTCTTCAATCTGCTCAGTCACCACAACAAGGAAACAAAGAAAGCAAGGCCTATATATCCGACCCAAATGTTCTCCTGCACTTGAGACGCCGACGCTGTTGTGTTACACGTCACGATATTTATAGACTGATCTCTATGTGAATGCAAACACGGTTGCAAGATTATAAACTTTTGTTGTGCAGCATATTGGTGGATATTCTTTCCACATTTATTTTGGGACTTCTGTATAAAAAGACCTACTGTGATCTGGTTCAGGTCTCACTATGAACCAGAGTGCACTGTAGGAACGTTGACTTGTATGTTTTGGTATAAATAAGGATTACAAGCTGTTAGAAATATAAATAATCAACATTTAAAGGAAGTGAAAGAGTCCTGTAAAGAGAGGACAGTGAGTCATTATTACCTGTAACCAGCATCTCTCTCTAACCTTGGACACGCTTACTGTGTGCAGATAATGTAGACGTCTGATGAGGTACGCTGACAGCTTAAAGAGGAGGTATTCTGCTCATTTTAACCCCAACAAAGGCGAGTCGAGCCAAAGGGCCTCCGCTCAGACTAGCTTGGTCTGAGGGCGTGCCTGAGCTTTATGACGCGTTTTCATTGTGACGTCACATGTAAAGCTGAGCCACAAACTGGTGATGGCGCATCGATAAGATGCTTGCCTTTGGTGTGGGGGACCTGGGTTTGATTCCCACTATGATCACTTAACCCCTCGTTGCTCCAGAGGCGTGCAACCTCTGACATGTATAGCAATTGTAAGTCACTTTGGATAAAAGTATAATAACGAGTTTAAAGTTCTGTTGAAGTATAATAACGTGTTTAAAGTTCTGATGAAGTATAAAAACGAGTTTAAAGTTCTGATGAAGTATAATAACGAGTTTAAAGCTCTGATGAAGTATAATATCGAGTTTAAAGCTCTGATGAAGTATAATAACGAGTTTAAAGCTCTGATCAAGTATAATAACGAGTTTAAAGCTCTGATCAAGTATAATAACGAGTTTAAAGCTCTGATGATGTATAATAACGAGTTTAAAGCTCTGATGAAGTATAATAACGAGTTTAAAGCTCTGATGACGTATAATAACGAGTTTAAAGCTCTGATCAAGTATAATAAAAAGTTTAAAGCTCTGATGAAGTATAATAACGAGTTTAAAGCTCTGATGAAGTATAATAACGAGTTTAAAGCTCTGATGAAGTATAATAACGAGTTTAAAGCTCTGATCAAGTATAATAAAAAGTTTAAAGCTCTGATTAAGTAGTTTAATGCTCTGATGAAGTATAATAACGAGTTTAAAGCTCTGATGAAGTATAATAACGAGTTTAAAGCTCTGATGAAGTATAATAACGCGTTTAAAGTTCTGATGAAGTATAATAACGAGTTTAAAGCTCTGATGAAGTATAATAACGAGTTTAAAGCTCTGATGAAGTATAATAACGAGTTTAAAGTTCTGATTAAGTAGTTTAAAGTTCTGATGAAGTATAATATCGAGTTTAAAGCTCTGATGAAGTATAATATCGAGTTTAAAGCTCTGATGAAGTATAATAACGAGTTTAAAGCTCTGATGAAGTATAATAACGAGTTTAAAGCTCTGATGAAGTATAATAACGCGTTTAAAGTTCTGATGAAGTATAATAACGAGTTTAAAGCTCTGATGAAGTATAATAACGAGTTTAAAGCTCTGATGAAGTATAATAACGAGTTTAAAGTTCTGATTAAGTAGTTTAAAGTTCTGATGAAGTATAATATCGAGTTTAAAGCTCTGATGAAGTATAATATCGAGTTTAAAGCTCTGATGAAGTATAATATCGAGTTTAAAGCTCTGATGAAGTATAATAACGAGTTTAAAGCTCTGATGAAGTATAATAACGAGTTTAAAGCTCTGATGAAGTATAATATCGAGTTTAAAGCTCTGATGAAGTATAATAATGAGTTTAAAGCTCTGATGAAGTATAATAACGAGTTTAAAGCTCTGATGAAGTATAATAACGAGTTTAAAGCTCTGATGAAGTATAATATCGAGTTTAAAGCTCTGATGAAGTATAATAATGAGTTTAAAGCTCTGATGAAGTATAATAACGAGTTTAAAGCTCTGATGAAGTATAATATCGAGTTTAAAGCTCTGATGAAGTATAATAACGAGTTTAAAGCTCTGATGAAGTATAATAACGAGTATACTGACAGCTTAAAGTTACCGCCTGAAACAACATCAACACTGGGAGACTAGTGGTTGTTGACATTCGGTTAGCTCGGCTAGGTCTAATTACAGGTTTGCAGCTTAGCATCGCTGTGACTCATCACTGGCGTGCAGAGGCGTCGGCCGATAAAAGTCCATCTCAGCATGTCACATCCCACTGCATCGTTTATCGCCACCTACTGGCCCGGCGAGTTCCTGTGGACAGAATTAGTTTTTAAGCGTTGCCATGGCGTATCCGTGTGTGTGTTACCTGCAGTTCACACCACGCCACCTCCACCGTGGTCTCAGTGTCGAGTCCTTTGTAAACCGTCTTGAAGGATCCTTGTCCGATCTCGATGTTGAACTTGAGGAATCGTCCGTCCGGAGACGAGGCCACCGCCTTCGTCTCCTGTTCATCACGCTCCTCTTCCTCCTTCCGTTGCCACGGTAACGCCTCCCTGTTGGAGTCTGAGAGCGCGGCCGCCGTCTCCTCCCCCGAGTCCAAGCTGGCGTCCCGATTGCCCAAAGGATTCGCCGCAGCCTTTGATTGGACGGTGGGGTCATCCTCTGAGGTTGGCATGGTAATGAGAGGAAGCGGAGGAGTAAAATTAGGCTCCTCCTCCTCAGTAGGTCGTCTCCTCGCTGTGACATCAGAGGACAAAGTTAACTTTCATCTGTTTAGTGATTAATATTTTTATTTAACAATATTTTCTCCTCGTTGATGAAACATGTAAATGGGGAATGTGTTAGTAAAAAACTATAAATACATTTTATAAATTATTTATTATTATATTTTTTCTCTTATTATCTTAAACATGGGTTATTCATTTTTTACTGCTTATTTTACTTCCTTATTTTAAATGCATTATAATATTTTAACCCTCTCAGCTGCATTTTGTGAATGAAATATTTAATAAACTTAAAGTGTATTATTATTAATTATATTATTATTACACAATTAATTAATATATCAGATCATCCAGGAAACCCTGTTTTATGAATATTCAATAAATTATGTTTTGTACGAAGAAGAATTCCATTGTATATTTCTACATTACATTACAATGCATTGTATTAATTTATATTGTATTATATATAATTATATAACATTATATTATATTATATTTAATGTTATATATCATATCTAATTATTTATTTTATTACTATGGATTCTATTATATTACATTAGATATTATTACATTATAATATATAATCTTATGTTATATTATGTTACATTAGATATTATTACATTATAATATAATCTTATGTTATATTATGTTACATTATATTATATTATATTGTATATTATGTTACATTATATTATATTATATTGTATATTATGTTACATTATATTATATTATATTGTATATTATGTTACATTATATCCCCCAGACTCCATCAGGTGTGTGAAGCTGCTGGTTAAATGAACTCACTGTGTCTCTGCAGCAGCTGCGGGTGAATTAACGAGGCTGAGTGGAAAAAGTGGAACCAGTAAAACCAGCACAGAAACCAGCAGAGCTGCAGCAGCTGGATCCTTAAAGTCCAGGTTCACACAGGGGCCGCTGGAGTCCGGTTCTCTGTGAGCTCAGAACAAATTCTTTAAACCCACAAAGACAAAAAATAAAAGCACCTTCTTCTTCTTCTTCTTCATGTTAATGAGAGGCGGACTGCACGAGCTCTATCAGCAGGACGCAGACTGCTCGAGCTGCGATAAGCCCCGCCCACCGGACACCTGTCACCTGGCCTGATAAAGCAGACGCGGAAATACAGTGATGATTAACAAGAGAGGATCTTCCTTTATTTATGTTTTTTGTGATTAATTTGTGTGACATGATCTTTTATTATGTTTTATCGTTTTATTTATTGTTTTGTTTTTAATTATTTGTTTTTATATTTTTAATTATAATATAACTTTATCTTTTATCAATTAACAGTTTTATTATTTATTTGTTATTTGTATGTTTTTCATTTTGTATAATTCAACATCATATCTTTATTTAATTAATTTTTTACATTTTTGTTTTATCATTTTGCCACATAGGATTATAAAAGATTTATATTATATATATTTAGTCACACCTATTTTATTTTGTGTATTTATGTTTATTCCTTATTTTCCTATGAAACGTGTTAATGATGACGTAAATAAAGGTGAGCTGCATGAACACTTTATGTGACGTCAGTGGTTTGTTTATTTTCCATGATGAATGTTATTGTTGCGTCTTCTGTCCAGCAGAGGACGCTGCTGCGTCTCTGTTGCTTTAGGAGTTACTTCACTAACTAATGATTTTAGTTTTTATTCAAACATTTAACTGTTAATCGAACATTTTGTATCGTTTTATTATTTTATTATTTATTATTTCATCACTTAATGTAAATTCAACATTTGTATTAATCTTTACCTCATCAGGACTCTCAGTTCCTCCTCTCCAGCCTGACGGGCAGCAGCTTCGTCTTCGTCTCTGTTCAGAGCTTCAGCGCGTGAGTACCGATCATTTCTTTATCTTTTGATTTGCTCACGTGCTGACAGGAAGTGAAGAGCAGAAAGTGATCGATTATCAGCAGTCTGACCTCCTGCAGCTGCTCCTCTGGCGGTTTAACAGAAACCTTTATGAGGTTTGGAACAACCGCGTGTTTTGAATTTCTGGCGGCGGGAAATCAATCAACCAATAAATGAATCAATCAACCAATAAATGAATCAATCAACCAATAAATGAATCAATCAACCAATAAATGAATCAATCAGTAAATAAATTAATCAATCAGGAAATCAAAGCACTGACAGAGCTGCTAAATGAATAAAGTGTTGATGGTTGTTTTTTCAGCAGAGGATCAGCTGATTCTGGCAGCTTTTGCAGAAACTACTTCTGTTTATTTTCACCAACGTTTCTCTGCAACCATTTAATCAATAAATAATAATGGTTTATATTATATATATAACAGTATTTATAATACTTACACAGTATATAATATACACATATATAAATCTCTCTCTATGTATATATAGAGAGAAAGAGATTCATCATCATTATTATTATTATAAATAATTGAGACTGACATCATTTACTGGAGCAAAGCAAGAAATATTCAGTTACTAGTAAAAGTACTGCGTTCAGAATGATTCTGAAGTATCAGAAGTAGAAGTATTCACAGTGCGGAGGACTTTAATCTTCTTTACTGTAGTAAAATCTGACTCTTATTAAATCAGGACTTTAATAATAATCAAATATTTCACTTTTATGACACACACAGTGTTTCCTGTTTCTTCGGGAGGTTCCCTTCTTCTCCCGTCTCTCCTCCACCTGAACCTTTAATCCCTCTGTAATCTGAGGATTAATCTAACCTTCTTTCTCATCTCAGATTGTGTTGCTCCGTATTAATCTGCCCTCTGACCCCTCCGCTCTTCATCTTCCTCCTCTTCCTCCTCCTCTGTAACAGGACTGCAGATTTAGAGTCACTTTCTAATCATTCTTTATAAAATGTGGTTTTAAAGCTTCATTAATAATTAATAAATCATTTAACAACGCTGTTATAAGACATTAATAAGATAAATCTCTTATTTTATTATTTTATATTAGTCAGTATTGCATTATTTAAATTTTATATATTATTTTTAATAATTTTATGACTTAATAATTTTATTATTCTTATACTTATTTCATTTTGTGTTCTTCAGGATTTGATTATTATAATTATTTGACAAATTTTTAATTAATACAGCATTCATTATATTTTATAATACGTATTTTAATATCTTTTCTTATCCTTTATACATTTTATTTGTATAATAATTTTTACTTACTACTTTTAGTTTTTTACCATAATTATTTTTTCTGAACATGTTGTGTTTCTTTTAGTTTGACCTTTGACCTTCTAGAAAACAGCTGCAGATCATGTGGAGCTGAAATTAACATTTTTTACAGATGCAGCTTTAATGAGCTGTTAACAAATCTTCTGCTTCAACAGCTTTACGACAAACTGCGACTTTCTTGACTTAAACGATCTTTTAAACTGAGAAACATCCTGTGTGTAATTCAGCGCACACTTCAAACGGGATCAGAACACTAGTCGTCTCTCGCCGTCGACCACCGAACATATTTAATCTGTAATAAGGGACCGTGAAGCGGGGTGGGGGGGGCTTAGGCTGCTGTTCCTGTAGGGGGCGCTACTAACAACAGAAACCAACAGCGAGCTTCTTCTCTCGAACATTAAATGCTGTTTGACCTCAAACCTTTTCGTTCCAACAGGCTCCTCCTCCTCCAGCGTCTCACTAACTCATCAGACAGATTCAAAATGTGGCGAGCCGCGCTGGAGCGTCTCTGACTCTTCCATCAATGTCCCACACTGTGAATCTACAAATGCCTTCTTCTTCTTCTTCTGTGGTGGACCCGCCACGCTGGATGATCCTCCTCCTTCTTCTTCTGAACCTGGGGATGGCGACAACGCCGTATACCACGCCCCTCTGGCCGCGAACCGTCAGAGTCTCCGCCCACGACATTTGCCAACGTTCGGAGACGCCAGACGGCGGACTGGCGGTGCGCTGCAGTGGACTGAGACTGCCTCAGGTCTGTGTTTGGTGTCCGTGATGTTGTGGGGAAGGAAAATTCTTAAAGAGGTTATTCTGCTCATTTTCAGGTTCCTCGTCTTATTCAGAGGTTGTACCAGAGCAGGTTTACATGGTTATATGTTTGTCCTACTGCACATTGTTGCAGCTCCTCGTTTTAGCTATGGAGTGATACATCTTGTCTCTAAATGATCTTTGTTGGGAGTTGCACATGCTCAGTTCCTACTTAAGGACTACTAGCCAATCAGAAGCAGAGTAGGGCGGGTCAGCGAGAAGCCGGTAAACAGCTCGGGTTCAGCCGTCCGTGTTGCCGACCGGCTCGGCAACACGGACTGGAGCGAGAGTTTCAGAGCGGTGAGTTATTAATCTGTATCCATAAAGTTTTAACTGAGCTCTGTCTCTACATCACAGGAACAACTTTATGTCACTGACTGCCTGGAGGGTAGCTAGTGTTTGGAAGGGAGAGGAGAGCTGTGAGCTGCAGCTCGCTGTTTCTGAGGGCGTGTCGGAGTAGCCGCTCGGCGAGCGTTATGACACGTATTTTCTTGTGACATCACAAGAAAGCGGAAGTAAAGGCTGGACTACAAACGAGCTGTTTTCAGTTCAGAGCAGAGTTTTCTGTGGGAAATGGGAACTCACTTTGGGCTTTTTCACTTTGCAAACCTGTTACAGCACAAAAAAGGTTTATAACTCAATAAAGGAGAGGGGAAAAGCCAAAAAGCAGAATATGACCTCTTTAATCTCTGGGAAAATGTTTGGTTAAAGAACCAGTCTGATGTTTTCAGGGAACCTGGGAGAGACTTGTTTAGTCTAGCTTAGAAAGCAGGGAGAAAGTGTTCAAAGCAATGAAACAGAAAAGACAAAATCTGCCAATACATTTTCAAATACAACAATCATGAAACCAGTTAGCATTTAGTGGACACGTGAGCTTGTCAGTCGTCGTCTTCTCCTTTGGCTAACCAGGGTTACTTTAAAAATGTTATCCGGTACAATTACTAATTAAAAGATGTAAATGCTCCGTACTTGTATAGCGCCTTTCTAGTCTTTTCGACCACTCAAAGCGCTTTTACACTACATCTGCATTCACCAGTCACACACATTCATACACTGAGCCTAAGTGCTCAAACGGAAACTAACATTCACTCTCACTCATACACTGATGGAACAGCCGCCAGGGGCAAATCGGGGTTCAGTATCTTGCCCAAGGACACTTCGACACGCAACCAGGGGGAGCCAGGGATTGAACCGCCGACGTTCCGATTAATGGCCAACCCGCTCTACCTCCTGAGCCACAGCCGCCCCTAAAGATGTAATCTAATGTAATCCAAGTACCACAAAATCAAAGTAATGTAACCTGATTACTTTCAGTGACTTTTGGATTACTTCAATAATAAATATGCAAATAAAGAAAAGAGAGAATCAAAGATGTCTGCTCAGTGGATTTTTACAGAAACATAATAATAATAATTATATGCAGCGGCTGATTCAAACTGCTCAGAAGATCATCGGTACCCATCTCCTGAGCATCAGTGATATCGGTGAGGTGCCTGCAGAGCCCACAGGATACTAAAGGACAGAACCCACCCAGACACAGCCCGTTCACCCTGCTGCATGCTGGGAAGAGATGTGGAAGTTTCTGCTGGCGCACCTCCAGACTGCAGAGCAGCTTTAACTATCAGACTCTTAAACTCTGGTTCATCCTCAGGGCAGTTACAGACTCAGCTTCACTTTATAACCTGCTGTATGGGGACAAAATATGCAGTTTGCGTTGCCCTGGGCCTTTAATCACATGGCAGGATCTGTGCCAACCTGGCGAGCGCGTGAGGCCGGCCAGCCGCCCGCTCACAGAGCCCTCTGCTCCCGCCGCCACACAGACCGCTGCAGCAACAACGGCAGAGGAAAACACAGCTGGAAGCTTTTCATACCGCTTATCTGTCTTTACATTCTGAGGAAGGTTCAAACTCCGGCTCCTGCTCCTGTTTCCCTTGGTTGCCAGTGTTTTGCTAAGCTAGGCTACACGCTCCTGCATGTTCCTCTGTAGCGACCCTGACCGTCTCAGGTGTTTCCCCAGGTACCCGTCGGCCTCTCTAACCTCACCACTCGTCTGTTTCTGGATAAGAACCTGCTCGGCTCTCTGCCGGCCGACACGTTCTGCGACCTGCTGCTGCTCCAGGAGCTCGACCTGTCGCACAATCAGGTACGCCTCATATCACTTCATGTAAAAACACAGATCAGCGGAGACCGAAGCAACACGGCTTTCCTGTTTCCTCCCAGCTCTCCTCGCTGGAGGCCGGTTGTTTCCGTGGTTTGACGTCCTCGCTTCGTTTTCTGGACCTGTCGTCCAATAAGCTGTCTGCATTGGACCCGGCGGCGCTCGGTGGGCTGCGAGCTCATGCCAACCTCACACACAACCCCTGGCACTGTGACTGTAGGATGCAGGTGAGTTTAATCTGCACTGTGACTGTAGGATGCAGGTGAGTTTAATCTGCACTGTGACTGTAGGATGCAGGTGAGTTTAATCTGTACTGTGACTGTAGGATGCAGGTAAATTTAATCTGCACTGTGACTGTAGGATGCAGGTGAGTTTAATCTGCACTGTGACTGTAGGATGCAGGTAAATTTAATCTGCACTGTGACTGTAGGATGCAGGTAAATTTAATCTGCACTGTGACTGTAGGATGCAGGTAAATTTAATCTGCACTGTGACTGTAGGATGCAGGTAAATTTAATCTGCACTGTGACTGTAGGATGCAGGTAAATTTAATCTGTACTGTGACTGTAGGATGCAGGTAAATTTAATCTGCACTGTGACTGTAGGATGCAGGTAAATTTAATCTGCACTGTGACTGTAGGATGCAGGTAAATTTAATCTGCACTGTGACTGTAGGATGCAGGTGAGTTTAATCTGCACTGTGACTGTAGGATGCAGGTGAGTTTAATCTGCACTGTGACTGTAGGATGCAGGTGAGTTTAATCTGTACTGTAACTGTAGGATGCAGGTGCGTTTAATCTGCACTGTGACTGTAGGATGCAGGTAAATTTAATCTGCACTGTGACTGTAGGATGCAGGTGAGTTTAATCTGTACTGTGACTGTAGGATGCAGGTAAATTTAATCTGCACTGTGACTGTAGGATGCAGGTGAGTTTAATCTGTACTGTGACTGTAGGATGCAGGTAAATTTAATCTGTACTGTGACTGTAGGATGCAGGTAAATTTAATCTGCACTGTGACTGTAGGATGCAGGTAAATTTAATCTGCACTGTGACTGTAGGATGCAGGTGAGTTTAATCTGTACTGTGACTGTAGGATGCAGGTGAGTTTAATCTGCACTGTGACTGTAGGATGCAGGTGAGTTTAATCTGCACTGTGACTGTAGGATGCAGGTGAGTTTAATCTGTACTGTGACTGTAGGATGCAGGTGCGTTTAATCTGCACTGTGACTGTAGGATGCAGGTAAATTTAATCTGCACTGTGACTGTAGGATGCAGGTGAGTTTAATCTGTACTGTGACTGTAGGATGCAGGTAAATTTAATCTGCACTGTGACTGTAGGATGCAGGTGAGTTTAATCTGTACTGTGACTGTAGGATGCAGGTGAGTTTAATCTGCACTGTGACTGTAGGATGCAGGTGAGTTTAATCTGCACAGCTGACGCTAACAGGGGCTCTCTGGAGCTACCTGTGGGAGTAGAATCAAGGAAGGATCTGAGTCATCCAGGTCAGAGTTATCACAGCTAAAATCAAGGTCAACTGGACTTCAAGATACTCGGGAACGTTTCGCTTCTCATCCAAGAGGCTTCTTCAGTTCCGCCTGACTAGTCCCAGCTATTTCACCTCTGTGGGGTCGTTGTCAAGGTGATGGATGTACCACTAGGTTCATTAGAGCTCCTGGTTGTTGATACAACAGTAGTTGAACAACTGACATTAGTCTCATCAGTCTCCTGGGAAGAGATGGAGCGACAGAATTGTAGGTGGGGGACCAGTGGTGTCTCAGACCTCCTAACCTGTTGAGAGATGGTTTCTCTATTTTAGTATATATGGCGTCTTTCACTCTGAGGCTCCTCCTCTGTCCTTCAGGTGTAGGTAAACTGCTGAGCCTTGACCGGAGGGCCCTTCTGTGTTGAGCCATGCGTTTGTGTAGAGGTTGTTTCATTTCTGGGAAACAAAACAACCAAAGGACACTCTTTCAAGGACAACAGGGAGGACAGATTGTTTGAAAGAAGGAGTGAAAGAAGTCATTTACACCGGAGTAGAGAGACCTTCTCTCAACGGGCTAGACACACCACTGGTCCCACACCTGCAATGCTGTCGCTCCATCTCTTCCCAGGAGACTGAACAAACACTCACATTTGGCCTCAGGTTTCTCCAACCACCACAAAGACCAGGCGCACTAATGAACCAAGCGGTATCCATCAACTTGATTACGACGCCACAGACGACAACTAGCTGGGACTCCCTGCTAATCAGCACTGAACTGAAATGTCCACTCGCTTTTAATTTGAACCTTCCTCGAATAAAAGATGATTCACAAAATCTACAAATTATTATTTGTTGTTCTTTTGGGGGGGGGGGTTCTGACAGACAGATTCTGTGTTTGTGATTGTTTGTGGTTTGTTTTTCAGCTGTCGATATCTCAGCTGGATCTGGACCCGTCCTCTCTTTCTGGAGTCGTCTGTCAGACATCGGACCTCCCGACCCTTGGTACGCCTACACTCATCAGCCAATCAGAGGGCTGTGTGTGTACAACGTAACATTACATTGTTTTTGTTAGATTTAATTTATTTCAGCTCTAAGCAGCGAGTCATGTGTCTGATGTTTAAACACGTTCAGAGTATTACAGATTGTGTCTTTGCAGGAGCTGCTGGGAGGCCTCTGGTCCTGCTGCTGGAGGACTGGGATCTGTGTCTGGCTGTGAGGAGAAACACCGATGTGGCGATGCTGGTCATCATGTTCCTCTGGATCGCCATGGTCATCTCCTTCCTGGCCTACTACATCAGAAAGAACGAGGAGCACGTCCGTCGACACTTGGCGTACCTCAAGCTCATGCAGCTCCGTCAGGTGTAGAGGACGGAGTTAATCCTGGAAGAGCTGTTGTTGGTAACCTGACAACGAGGACGCATGTCTCCTCAAGGACTTCTAGAAATTCCCCAAGGATCAAACAGATGCTGAAATAACGACGTCATGATGCTGATTTGTTATAAATGTTATGTCATGCTTTGTCAGGTCTGTCAGCAAGATGACAAGCAAACAACTTTTAAAATGCTTGTTTTCTAAATGGAGTCTGGAGTCTGGCTGTGCTGTGCTAGGTCACGAGAAGTAAAAAGTGAATTTAATAAAAGCAGTTAGCTAGTTAGACGTTAATCATCTGCTCCCGTCAGTAAACGGCTCCGTTTTTAGAGCACTGCAGGTGTTTATTGGTCCAAGGCTCCGGCGCCGCCTCGTCTCTGTCCCTCGTCTCTGCCCGGTGTCCCTCTCCTCTACACGCTGAAGCCGTGACGTGACGTCTGGACTGTCTGAGCGGTTTGGGGTTAGCCAATCAGAGGCAGAGTAGGAAGCTGCTCTACGTCAAATGAGATTAAAAAATGTGGCAGTAAGAGAAGATACCGCTGCCCATAGTGATCCTTTAAACTTTGTAAAGAAGAACAAAGATTTATTTCTGAACACCTGGTCACACTCCAGACCTTCACCTTCGTGCTGGGTCACCGCTGTCGCTCCTCGAGGACCTGGACTCTGGTCCAGATGTCAGATCTCACGTCTCGTATCTGGAAGTTTGGTTCCTTCATCAGTGTTTCCTCTGAGCTCTTTTTCTAAAGGAGGCTGCTGACGTGACCTGAAGACTTCTCATCTCCTCGTTCTCACAACACGTCGCTTCATTTATTTCTCAGCATATATCTGCCCTTTACTAATTATTCATCTGGTAATCTGTTCTTTAAGCATTTACTCTATTATTATTTATTCATGTGATTTGATTGGTGGGGAACCTCCAATCAGAGACCGTCGTTCTTTGTATTTTAAATAGATTTCAAGCAGAACATCCAAACCATGTGGCGCTCTGCAAACCAGAACAGCCACGTTTCGTTTCCACTGCGATGTGATTGTGAAGTGTTGTTTCCTCTGACTCTGTTTGTTGTTGTTCAGTAAAAGAAAGGAAAAGGACGTCTACACAAACATCAGCCCAGCAGAAACAGACGACACCCTGCTGAGGTCAGAATGCTAATGTTAGCTGTACGTCTTTCTGACGGGCTGCAGGTCAAGTTCAGGAACACCTGAGCCTTTCCTGGACGTTTGTTTCACAGCTGATGAACAGGAAGTGACACGCCTGGGGACTGTACCGGACCCTCCTGCACTGATGAGACGAGATGTAAACTCCTCTGCAGCAGGTCGCATCTTTATCATCTTTATTTTAATCACTGAATATGAGTTTTGGTTATTTGTCTGCGTCTTGTTTCAGTTTGTTTCATCTAAATTAAATGTAATTTCTCTGGTTTATTTCTTTTCTTCGTGAGACTGTAATCCTTTAATGTGTTTTCTTGTGCAGTTAGATAACGCCTGTGATGAGGTCAGGTGACTTCCTGTGGAGCGTTGGTTGGCGCCCTCCTGTGGTAGTCATGATGTAACAGCAGAGTGTGTTTGTGTTTTTCTTTGGATGAAACAAGATTTAATTTGTTTATTAATTATTGAGGAAATAAGTCACTTTTATTGTTTCTGCATCATCATGTTCATCTTTTATTCAACACCTTCTTTTGTTTACTTTTATGTTTTGTCTTCACAAGTGAGAATCTTTGTTATTATGGTCAAATCAAAACAATATATTTATCTGCGTGTTTGTTTATGACATGTTAATAAATCATCTTTTGTAGGTGAACTCAGCTAAAATGGGCCAAATAAAGTTGGACTTTAAAATTTTACAGCCAATCACAATTATTGATCTTTCTTATTGTTGTTACATCACGTGTTGATATGTAACAATAGCTTTGATTGGTTTGAGGTTCCACGGTGGGCGGGGCCGAGTGTTACATCAACTACATCAGAGGAGTCTGATGATTAATAATACCTCACAGACTGCTTCAGATACACTCAAGTACTACACTACAGGAAACGTGTATGTGTGCACTAATAAATAATTGATACTTCAACCAAGTCCAGTTGCCCTTGACTTTAACCTTCGTTGGATACTGCTAATAATGTTACTTAAGAGTTTTTTTATATGGTTCAAATTCGTTTAGATGTCCGGCATCCTCTCTGTTCTAACTTCATAAAATAGCTTTTTACAACTGAACTTCTCTTTGGTTTTGCTGGGTCTTATACAATCAGCTACTTTAGGTCCCCTGTACAGACAAAGTGACAAAGAAAGGAAGCTTACTTTTGCAGAGTTAATTGTATTCACGATTAACACATATAAAACACACATTATTTTAAACAAAGAATGTTGGCCTATGTTAATTGATGTTTTGTTTGAACTAGAACAAATCATTTCTTTTAATACACCCTTTTTAAACGTAGTTTTAAATTTATATTTAGTGAAATATGTTCATTTTCTAACTACCTATGTCAACACAGACAAACAAGCTGCTTGCATCGGGCCATGTGGCTCGGGGCCAGTTGTAACACAGTGTTACAGCCATCATAAGATCTTGCATGCCCGTTAGCCACGACTATATTAACATAGTTTGTTAGTGTTAATTATTAATCAATAACCTAGATCTTTAGACACCACGGGGAAAATACTGTACATCCAAAAAGTTACTTTCATAACTCAAAGTGAGTATTTTGTTTAAAACTCGTTGAGGTGAAATGATGCTGCTCATGTCATCACTGATTGTGTTACAATGGACCCGGTCTCCACTACTTGTTTTAGCTAAAGCAGCGAGTTAACAAGGGCCACATACAGACTCCTACACAGAAACTAAAAGTAGAAACAGGTTCACAGGTCTGTACCTATTTACATCCATGCAAAACATAAACATGCATTACTTTACACACAAAACAGACACAAAGGCAGAAATATGCAGAAACACACACTCATACAACTTGACCGTTTCTTTTTTAAATTAAATATTTGTTGTATTTACGGTGTTGTTACTGTGGCACCACAAACACAATAATCAGCTTACTGTTGAAATAAAAATGATCTCAGATAAAATCACAGTGTTGTTTTCTTTTTCCATTTCCCCTGAACAGCTGAGCTCCCAAACAATTCATATTTTAATGAAGTATTTAAGAGACCCGTGTTAATTAAATGATTAAAGAATTAAAGTGTAATCAGATCTCGTGCAGGTTTAATTGACGGTGAAACGTCCACTCTGTTTACAGCGGGGCTCAATCTGTCATCGATTATCTGCGTCTGCGCTCGTCCCGTTCTGTCTGAAGTATCCCAGAATCCTCTGCGCGTCACAATAGTTGCCAGTCATCGCAGAGCTGAGCTGAGCCGCCGCGACTCCGCAGAGAAACGCTGATTAAAGTGTCCGAGCTGCAGCAGGGGTCTCTTTATCTGTCCGGTTTGTCTTCCAGACACCATGAAGGAGACAGCGGCCAAGCGGCGGGAAAAGGCGGGAGGCCGGGACCGGGACTCCAAGGCCGAGAAGCCGAAGGACCCGGGCCCCGAGCCGCAGGACGTGGAGATGCCGGAGGAGGACGCGGCTAGCGCGGCTAAGCCCAAAGAGCTGGACAGCGTGACCCTGGAAGGTAAAACGCAGAGACTGAACGTTACCGTGAAACACGCCGGGAGAGTCCGGTACCGGAGCCGGTCCGCTGTCGGGAACGTTGAGTCACCGGCTGTTAGCCTGTTAGCATAATGAGCTAAAGCTGCCGAATAAACACAACAAACATTTAGCGGTGAGCTAGTTTCAATAAACGGATCAAACTGATGCTGAAATAAAGACTTCGTGATGCTGATGTGTTAAAAATATGAATTCATGCTTCGTCTGGTCTGTCAGCGAGATGACAAGCAAACCGCTTTTAAAACGCCTGTTTTCTGAATGGAGTTCGGCTCGATCAGGGCTGTGCTAGGCTAACTAGCAGCTTCCTCTCTTTCTCTCCGGGTGCCCACTGAACACCAGACCAGGTCTAAACTACCAACTAGACTAGAGTCACGTGTGTTTTAATATGGGGGGTCTGGGACATAGTGACCAGGATTTTATCTCCACCCAGACCACATCAGACCAGGTCTACCTAAACCCCTCTGTATTTAGGCTCGTCAAACCTGGTCAGCGTTAAGACGTGGACTCCACACACACCATAATACGACTTTTATTTTTAGACGTATCGTTTTCAGATTAATCAATAAAACACTTTATCCACAATAATATGATGGTTAGTAGAGACCAAACGGTTTAGTAACGATTACAAGGACCAGAAGGATCCCGGTTGTCAGTTTTATCACGGTGGGGGTGTTAAAAAGTACTGAAACCCAGAAATACAGTCAGCAGCATTTTTTGTTTAAACTTTAAAATAATAACAGCTGATTAACAAGTGAGCCATTTACAGAAACCCAGAGGAGTTCAGGAGTCTGCAGACTTGCTCCTGTTGAAACTAATTTAACGACTGCTGGATTTTAAACTCGGAGCTTCAGTTTACAGGCTGTTAGAGAGTCAGACAGACAAACATCACGTGTTCTGAAGTCGTCACATCAGGCTCTGAGCTCAAAGGTAACATTCGCTGTAAAGTCGTAGGTAGAGATTCAACGTTCCCTCCGCACGTCTACATAATTTTAGAATGACCTCGGTAGAGCCGTGCGGTAGTCTGTCTGTAACTCCAAACTCAGACTGAGTCTAAAACTTGTAGAATTATGAATGAGCTTCTGAATGAGCTTCTGTCTGATTCCTTACCTTTCTGCACCCCCCAGACATTAAGGAGCATGTGAAGCAGATAGAGAAGGCGGTGTCGGGGAAGGAGCCTCGCTTCGTCCTCCGGGCTCTCAGAGCGTTGCCGTCCACCAGCCGCCGCCTCAACACCAACGTGCTGCATAAAGCCATCTTCGGCTTCTTCACCAACAACACCACCACCAGGGACTTCCTGGTGGGCTTCCTGGAGGAGGTGGGGCTCCGTGATGAGGAGTTATTTTTTCAAACTGTTTCTTCAGGCTTGTTCTCAGATGTCGAGTCAGACGATTCTTATTAATATTTATCTCCATGTTTAAGTAATAATTAACAAATTAAAAAAGACAAACATGGAGATTCAAGCTTCTCTGAGGCTTCCCAGCTTTTCTCTCTCAAATATTCAGAAACCAAACTGGGTCTTTTGGTGTTTATAGAAACAGCAGCAGGTTTCTCTTTATTTTATCTCATCACATAAATCCGTGCAGCTGCACTTCAGGCTGAAAACACACAGAGGTTTGGTTCCTGTTCACCAACTCTCCTCTCAGTTTAAACGTTTCTATTGACGAAGTAAATCAGACGTGCAGGTTTCAGACTTTAGTGTCTGAACGCAGACAGCAGTGAAGGCTGAGGACAGCTGATTGGTATTAATGTCTCTCTGTCTGTCTGTCAGCCGATGGAGATGGCGGACGGAGACGTCCAGTTCCGTCCGAGGACCGGTAAAGCAGCGTCAGCTCCTCTGCTGCCGGAGGTGGAGGCGTACCTGCAGCTGCTGCTGGTGGTTCACCTGACCAACAACAAGAGATACACAGAGGTCTCTCTGTCTCTGTCTGTCTGTCTGTCTCTGTCTGTCTGTCTCTGTCTGTCTGTCTCTGTCTGTCTGTCTCTGTCTGTCTGTGTCACTGTTTCTGTCTGTCTGTCTCTGTCTGTGTCTCTGTCTGTGTCTCTGTCTGTCTGTGTCTCTCTCTGTCTGTGTCTCTCTCTGTCTGTGTCACTGTTTCTGTCTGTCTGTGTGTGTCTCTGTCTTTCTATGTCTCTGTCTTTCTATGTCTCTGTCTTTCTATGTCTCTGTCTGTCTGTGTCTCTGTCTGTCTGTCTGTGTGTGTCTCTGTCTGTCTGTCTCTGTCTTTCTATGTCTGTCTGTGTGTCTGTCTGTCTGTCTGTGTCTCTGTCTGTCTCTGTCTGTCTGTGTGTCTCTGTCTGTCTGTGTGTCTCTGTCTGTCTGTTTCTGTCTTTCTATGTCTCTGTCTTTCTATGTCTCTGTCTGTCTGTGTCTCTGTCTGTCTGTGTGTCTGTCTGTCTGTCTGTCGCTGTCTGTGTCTCTGTTTGTCTCTTTCTGTCTGTCTGTGTCTCTGTTTGTCTCTGTCTGTCTCTGTGTGTCTCTGTCTGTCTCTCTCTGTCTGTCTGTATGTATGTGTCTCTGTTTGTCTCTGTCTGTCTCTGTGTCTGTCTCTCTGTCTGTCTGTATGTGTCCCTGTCTGTCTCTGTGTGTCTCTCTCTGTCTGTCTCTGTCTGTCTGTATGTATGTGTCCCTGTTTGTCTCTGTTTGTCTCTGACTGTCTGTCTCTGTCTCTGTCTGTCTGTATGTGTCTCTGTTTGTCTCTGTCTGTCTCTGTCTGTCTGTATGTGTCTCTGTCTGTCTCTGTCTGTCTCTGTCTGTCTGTATCTGTCTCTGTCTGTCTCTGTCTGTCTGTATGTGTCTCTGTCTGTCTCTGTCTGTCTGTATGTGTCTCTGTCTGTCTCTGTCTGTCTCTGTCTGTCTGTCTCTGTCTGTCTGTATGTGTCTCTGTTTGTCTCTGTCTGTCTGTCTAAGCGTTTAAATGTCTCAGCTTATGATGGTGAAATGTGTTGCTAGGAAACATCTGTGGGACTGTCCATTCAGGAGCAAGCAGCTATGTAAACAGGCTCAGATGTTTTCACACGCTGTATGAGATCTGTTTTAGGATCAGTCCGTCTCAGTGAGGGTCGCCTGTTTGTTGTTGTTGACGTCGCTGCTCTCCTCGTTGTCGTGTTTCAGGCTCAGAAAGTCTCAGACGACCTGCTGCAGAAGATCGGCTCCAAGAACCGCAGGGCTCTGGATCTGGTCGCCGCCA